TCCCAGTTAGCTAACGGTCAGAGCCAAAATGTCTCCCGCTGACGTTTCGGTCCTTAAATCTGTTCGTTAAAACACGAGCTGACAGTCTGAGTGTCTCCTCTGTCGGACCGCGCTTCCGTAAAGTCCGTCCTCACCGAGTGGAGCAAATATTTCTCCTCCTTGTAAACTCGACTGGAAGCTCAGCCTGCCCCAAAGTTAGCGGAAATGCTCGCTGCTTCCTGTGACGCATTTCAAAATAAGAGCATTCCTCGCCTAAAAACTACACAACGCGTGAAAACTGTAAACTGTAAATAAAAAATGATACAAACACCTTCAAATACTCAATATTAGTACACAACTTCTATACTTAAGTAAAAGTACAGATACACTTGCTAAATATAAAAGTCAAAGTTCCTGCTTTTAAAAATACTTGAGCATCAAAAGTAAAATATACTATTAGTATGGTTCTGTTTGTCAGGAGTTGGTGTTATTTCAATAATAATTCAACTTCTTCAGTTATATGTATGAGTATTATAGCGCTCTCTCGGGTCGCCACCCTCAGGACCCCCATGACTCAGATACCACACTGGATCAGGGAGGCCCCTGATAACAAGCTAGTTTCGAGGTTCTGGCTCACCCCAATTATCAAATGTTCAACTCCAGGTTCAAAAGGTTTCCTAGTCAAACCCCTCCAATCCTCAGCAGCGTCAGGGAGCAGGACATCTGAACATAATCTGGAATGTGTTCCTCAATGACAGATTCTTTGTCTGTAATGAGGTGTGTAGTTGTAGGCAGTGTGGATAAAACCTTACCTTGCAGCAGGAGAGATTCTCAGACCACCAAAAACCATAAAGAGACAGGATGTGACAGTATATCTCATGATCCATGTTTGCTGGGATTGGCTGATCTCTAATGTTCATGCAGAGGGACCATGATCAGTCACCCTGTAATTGGTCTTTTATGTATATCAAACCAAATATGGTTCACATGAACACAGAAGATATCTGCCCGCCTATTTTAATTTAGCATCGTTTATCAATTATCCATTTTTAAAACATCAGATTCATCTCTTGTTTTAAAACACGTCACACATTTTATAAAGCTGATTTGATCATAACACAAAAAACATCAAACAATGTTCTCTGCAGGCAGGAGGTTCACTTCCTGTGAGGCTCCTGTGGTTCGGCAGCAAACTGCTTCTAGTCAGACTTTCCATCACGTCTGTTAAAACCAAAGGTCATCTTCTAGCAGTCTAACTGTTTTTTAACCAACAACAGAAGCCTGCGGTTCTTCCATCTCCTCCAATATTTCCAGAACATTTTAAATTTTCCCATCCTTTCGAGTACATTTAAAAATAAGGTTTAGCAGTGCGTTTAAGCAATTACGCTCAAGAAATCGACTTTGTTATATACTGACTGTGTAGATGTACATCCTGTCAGGGTAAAGAGTAAGAAAAGAGAAAGAGCAACAGTAAAACTTGTGTTTCAGCAACTACACAACAACACAGTTATAAATTGATCTGGCAATGTAATCAGCAATTTCATATTATTTGTATGTTCCACATATTCTAAAGATATTAATAATCTAATAAGTGTATCACCAGGCTGATGCTTTCTGACATGTAAACTTCAAAGCGTGACCTACACAGGCTTTTATTTTGAAGTCCAGCTAGTTAAACCAGAAGTGATTGGCTGTTAGTTTCTGTCAAGTCACAAAACTAATCTCCAGCTGGAAAAACCACAGCTTCAACCGCGCATGCTCCTGTTATCGGGCTGTGCAGTGAAGCAAAGCGAGCGCCCCCTTGTTCACATAACTTTATCATGACTTCATCGGGAGGAGCTCCGACCTTCACAGAAACACCGCCGGGAGGTCCAGACACTTTATTCAAACAAACCTTTAAGGCTCTGAGCCCCCCAGCCAATAAAAGAGAAGCATTTGTTACACTGACCCGATTGGCTGAAATGTAATTCCAATAAAAGAAAATCTGAGACGTTAGTGAAGCTGCGACCAGAGCAGAGTTTACAATAATCCAGTTAATATATATTATATTTTTAGATTTTAGATTTCAAAATCAGAAATACGTTATTGATCCCAGAGAGGAAAGTCTTTGTTACGAATTGCTCACTTGCATATCTGATAATATCAAAATATTAAGGCATAGAAATAATAGAAGAAAGTAGTGAAGTAGAAAAAATAACGAAATACCAAAACACTTTTTAGAGGATGTGGCTTAAATATCTTAAAACAAAAACACACGAGGTAAAACAAACAAAAAAAAAAGTATTTCTGATTCTGTTATTCTGATTATCTAATTCAAAGAAATGACATGAATTATAAAGCCTGATACTGTAAAAGTTAATATCAGACCATCATATTCAGTATCGACGTTCAAAGAAAACAATATGTCCATCAATCTATCAGTTTCTTCGATAAAGGGCTGATGGTTTCAGCAAAACATTTTCTGCTTCTCTCAGTTTTCCATTTCAGTAAAGTGGACATTTCTTTAGTTTTTGGCTGCTGGTCGGACAAAACGAGACATTTGAAGCAGTCACCTTGGACACTGCTGGATATCGTCATTAGAGCTGCACCGATTAATCAAATTTTTTAATTAATAAAGTCATTTTTGAAGTAAAGATTCTCTGATTCCAGCTTCTTAAATGTGAATATTTTAATAGTTTTTTCCTCCTCTCTGACGGTAAACTGAATAATATTTGGGTTGTGGACTAAACAAAACATTTGAGGACCTCATGGTGGACTTTAGGAAACACTAATCGATTGATAATCATTAGTTGCAGCCGTAATCATCACGGGAACAACTTTCTTAAATTTTACAGACAAAACGATGAATGAAACCATGCTGACCCCTGAAGTGAGCTGAACAGGTAACAAGTAGTTTAATCTCAGTTAAAGTCCCTTCTGTTACAGGCCGAAAACACGAGACTTACAACAGAAACAATCTGATTTGTTTCTGAAAATATTCTGCATACCAAATAAATGTTTTTTAAATGCTGTTCTGTGCAAAGATTCAGTCCTGTGTTTTAACTCCTCTCACACGTGGCCGTTAGTCCAACATGACAAATTATAACTGCGTTTCAAAAACTACAAATTATCAGGTCTGAGGCGTAAGGTTGAAAAGGCGGGGTCATTGACTCTAATCCAATAAAAGTATTTTAGTCCGGCTCTGTTAGCAGGAAACAAACACAGTTTATGATTCATGTGCCGGTTTTGTTAAATAACTCGCCCAAAGACATTCAGCTCTACTTTCTAGTACACCAAGACATGCTGTTGTTAGGACGGTTGTGAGTATCGCTGTCTGGAGCTGCTGTGGTGCTCTGGGACCGTCTCGTCCTCTCTGCATGTTCGCTTTGCAGCAACAACTTCAGCCAGTTTGCTAACCAACAACCTAGCTAACGTTGCTTGCGGTGGAATTGGTTTTGCTCCAGACTCGCTTAACCCACCTTTAAGAAACGTGTCTTTATACTACTGAGGTCTGAAATGTCTCAACGTTTATTGGATGGATTGCCATGAAAAGTCATACAGATTAAAGTCTTCATTAAGAACCAAATGTGCTTGGATCTGAGAGCCACAGACAGGAAGTCAGACAGTATAGAGGGACAGACTAACACATAGGATTTGTCGAACAGCCAGCGTGGCCCTGATTGTTAACAGTCTTGGCCGGCTGGTAGGTTGTTAACGTCTCTGGCTCAGCTGCCGGTACAGCTGGATGGTCATGAGCTGGATCTCAGGATCTCCAGGTTTGATGTCGATGGCGCTCAGGAAGAAGCCCAGAGCGTCTTCCAGCTTCCCCTCGCTGTAGACCTCCCTCCCTCTGCTCACCAGGGAGTCGTAGCTCTCGTCCTCGGCGACGTCCTTCATCCCGTTGGTCTCGACTCCTGCATCAACGGTGCACTGATCCATTCTCTCGGAGGAGGCGAGCTCGGGCTCGCTGGCTGATTCCTCCAGGTTACTGCACATTTCCTCTGCCGAAGCATCGACGCCATCTGCAGACTCAGAGCAATCCTCCTCCTCCTCCTCCCCTTCTGTGTTTAAGGTCTCTCCAGTGGTCTCCTCCAGCTGAAGCTCATTAGTTGAACCAATGATGTCGTCCTCTTCAGCCTCGTCAGAAATGTCATCTTCATCACCTTCATCCTCATCATCCATGTCGTCGACGATGGACTGGATGAGAGACCGGTTTGAGGCCACTGAGGTGTTTCCTCCAACGCTCTTTCTCCTCCGGAGAGGGGTGGAGGCTCCAAGAACCTGGAAGGGGTTGTCCAGTTTCTCTTCTTCTTCGTCTTCATCACTGTCGTAAATCACTGCAGCTCTTTTCTTCTTCGTAGCCACAAAGGATTCATTCAGCGACTCGTCCATTTCAGAGGCAGACACGTTGAGGCTTTGTCCAAGTGCTTCTCTGTGTTGTCTCTCAGAAAGGGATTTATTCACGTCAAAACTCCCGTCCATCTGCAGCTGTGACAGCAGCTTCCTCTCCTCTGCTTCGGTCTCCTGATGATCCAGGACTTCACCTTCTGAGGACACGTCGCTGTACTCAAGCTGTAAGTTGAAGTTGCCCTCAAAGGATTCAAGCCCTGCGCCGCTGACTCGGTGCGACGTGTCTCCTTTGAAGCTTGAATTAGATGCATGCAGGACAGAAAGTCTTTTGTTCTGCAGGGGGGTGACACGAGCCGGCCCAAAGTCCATCATGGAGTTGTTTGTTGAGTGTGAAGTTCCGTTTAGCTGTTGTTCATCTTCATCATCTGCTGTAACGTAGGACTGGCTGCCGTCACCAGCTGCAGCATCTGCAGCTGCAGACATTTGAGACTCATCTATTGGTTCTTGTACTGAAGCATCTGCGGCCTCAGACGTTTGAGACTCATCTATTGGTTCTTGTACTGAAGCATCTGCGGCCTCAGACGTTTGAGACTCATCTAATGGTTCTTGTACTGAAGCATCTGCGGCCTCAGACGTTTGAGACTCATCTAATAGTTCTTGTACTGAAGCATCTGCAGACGTTTGAGACTCATCTATTAGTTCTTGTACTGAAGCATCTGCGGCCTCAGACGTTTGAGACTCATCTAATAGTTCTTGTACTGAAGCATCTGCAGACGTTTGAGACTCATCTATTGGTTCTTGTACTGAAGCATCTGCGGCCTCAGACGTTTGAGACTCATCTAATAGTTCTTGTACTGAAGCATCTGCAGACGTTTGAGACTCATCTATTAGTTCTTGTACTGCAGCATCAGTGGGCTCCGACGTCACCAAAGACTCCTCAGTCCCGTCCTGAGGAGAGGCGTCTGCTACTCCTAAGGAACTCCTTTCCTGCTTGACAGACTGAAGTTTCCGGGAATCCAGGTTCAGCTCTGGGAGCTCGTCTTGGCTTACTCCTGCAGCAGGTTGTTCTTCTGAGTTACTCTCATCTGCAGTTAGGTCAATAACGTGGTCACTCAGATTCTGTTGGCCGCCCTCCATGCCAGAACTGGACTGGTCTAAATCTACCACCACCGGTGACCTGTTAAAGTTGCTGTCATGCTGTGGATAGGAAGGACTTGGTCTTGGGTTTCTTGGTTTTTTCTCACGAGACCGCTCTCTGTTGTTGTCCACTGGTTGTCTGAGCCAGGCTGGTTCTGTGCTCGACGCCATGTTCTCTGTTAACTGCATCTGCAACTCTGACTCGGCCTTCATCAGCTCCTGGGCCTTCTGGACCCTCCCCTCGATGTAGTGGTGCGCCTCTTGGTCCTCCGGGGCCTCGTCATGGTTGACGTCGAGGGAAAACATGAGGTCGTGGTCAGAGATGCCAAACATCTCCATGGCGTGGAGGTGGGCGATGTGCTCGTCCAGTTCGGGGTCTGTTCGTCGGTGTCTGGAGTGCAGGGCCTGAAGCTGCAGCTGGGTGGACGAGGACCGAGTGTCCTCCAGAGTGAAGAGCTCCTTCAGCTCCTGCTTGCTGAAGTACCGAAAAGGGTTCTTTTTATCTCCGGTATTCTGTCTGATGAGGGAGTCTTTGAAAACCTGCCGCCTGTAGATTTTCTCCTCCACCGTGCCGCAGGTGATCAGCCTGTAGATGACGACGTTTTCCGTCTGGCCGATGCGGTACGCCCTGTCAACAGCCTGGGCGTCTGTTGCCGGGTTCCAGCTGGGATCGTAGATCACGACTCGGTCTGCCGCCGTCAGAGTGATGCCGACTCCTCCGACCTGGGTGGTCAAGAGGAAGACAGAGTAACGTTTGTCTGTCTGGAACTTGGTGATGCGCCGCTCCCTCTCTGCGATCTGTGTTATTGTGCCGTCCAGTCTCATGACTTTGAAGCCTCTGTTGACCAGGATGCGTTCGAGGATGTCCAGCACTTTCCTGTAATGAGCAAAGACGAGTGTGCGGTGGCCTTCTTCTCTGAGCCTTTCAAGAAGAGCAAACAGAAAGACGAGCTTCCCAGATTCGGATATTAAGGTGTCGTCAGAGACGTTAGCGATGCTGTGGGCGTCTGTCTCCGTGTCGTCACTCTGCTGACTTTCAGCTGTACTTTCGTCCAAGCCTAACTTGGCTATGGCTGCAGCAGAGAGCAGTCTTGGGTGGTCGCACAGCTTTTTGAGGATGGTTAGTTCAGCTAGAGGTGACCTAGAGGTCATGAGCAGCTCCTTGATGTGGTCCAGTGAAATGAACTGCCTGTATATGTCTTTCTGAGCAGAGCTCAGGTAGGTCCAGACAATCAGGTCGTTCTTTCTCGTGAGGGTGGGCATGACGGCTCCAGAGTCTTTTTGAGGGTTTTGGACTTGGCCGTCCTTGTTGCCCTGGTGTGTGCCGCTCATTTTGTTTTTCTGCACTTCTGCTTTTGTCCTGCGGAGGAAGTAGGGTTTTATAATGGCCATGAGGTTCTCAGACATCCGGGTCCCGAGGACCTTTTCCCCTGGAGTGGCATCCTTCTCTCGGGCCCGGGTGATGGGGTTCTCATACTCGGTTTTGAATGTTTTAGCTGTGCCGAGGAGAGTGCCTTGGCAAGCAAAGTCAAAGAGGGCCCACATTTCTTTCAGGTTGTTCTGGACCGGAGTACCCGTGAGAAGAACTCGGTGTTTCGAAGGTATGGCGGAGGCACTTTTGGCTGTTTTGGTGGATGAGGTTTTTATCTTGTGAGCCTCATCCAGGATCATGTAGTCCCACGTGAACTCTCTGCCATGGTACGATGACAGCTGCTGCCAGTTGTTCATGAGCATAGTGTACGTGGTGATGACGACGCCACCTCTCCTCTGAACTCTCTCCAGGTTCCTGGTCCTCTCTCCTTTGCTGGTACCATGGAACTCCTTGACCCTCATGCCGGGAGTCCATTTGGCAAACTCCTTGGTCCAGTTTGTGATGAGTGAAGTAGGCATGACCAGCAGCGCATGTTTGACCAGCTCATTATCGTACATACCAGAGAGGAACGAGATCACCTGGATGGTTTTACCGAGGCCCATGTCATCTGCCAAGATCCCGCCTTTACGCCCGTCTCTGTACAGACTGTACATGAAGGCCACTCCGTCTCGCTGGTAGTCGTAAAGCTTGTCATATAAGTCTTTGAAAAGCATTAAACCGCTGTTGTTGACGTTGACAAACTCTTCATCCTCTTCCTCAGAGTCATTCTGAGCAATAAGTTCTTCAATTTTCTTTATCCTGGTCTCCAGTTTTTGACTCTGGTGAATGTTGTACGCCGACTTGAAGAACTCCAGAGCTTTGCTTGTGTCCCCTTGTCTGAAAACATCTTTTGCATCTTGAATTAATCTGTAAGGGGGAAAAAAAGAAGGTTTTGAATCAGAGAATCTGAGTTTTAAGGCAAAAACATTCACATTTTCTTGAGGCAGAAAACCCTACAATTTCTACATCACCACGGCCCCTAAACTCGTGAAATTCATGTTAAATTTCAGAGCTGATCATGTATTATTTATTGAAGATTGATTTAGAAAGCTTTGAACTAAAAGTAGTAAGTAAGGGAAGTAAAATTCCAGTGAACCTTCAGAGGGGAGGAGTTTGGTTCGGCTTTCTGAACACAAACTGAGGACGGTTGATAAACACAAGGCGGCTTTTCCTGCACCGATACTTCTTTTATTCATTCACTTCTTTATCACTACAGCTCCATGCCTGCTCACACAGCGAGTGGGTTGACACCTGCTGGTCAAAACGAGTCACTACACTGATCAGTAATGGCTCCCATCCTCATTGGTCCACACAGACCAATGAGACAGAGTCATTAAACTGAATAAACAAGGAAGGTAGTTTCCTAAACACGGCTAAACCTCTGAAGGAGAAACACGTGCAGTTAATGCTTCACTGGGTTTCTGAAGGTTTTTACATGTGAGCATGAAAAAGACACCGGACAGTTAAGTATGGCTGCAGCAGCGTTTTAATACAGATGGAGATCAGCTCTGATACGCAGCTAAAACGCTGCTGTGGACGGAGATCGTATTCGTTTTAATTCTCCGTTTCTAAACTCAAAAGGAGTAGGTTAGATACGATACGCTATGACAGAGGAAACCCCTCTTCAATGTCACTTGGCATTAATATTAGAGCTGTAAAAATTAACCGATTAGTTGTTGACTATTAAATTAATCGTTAATTATTTTAATAATCGAATCCAGCTTCTTAAATTTGAGTATTTTCTGGTTTCTTTCCTCTAGACTGTCCAGAACTCAGCTGCCAGGCTTTTAACCAGAACAAAGAAATATGACCACATTACTCCTATTTTAGCTTCATTACACTGGCTCCCAGTATGTTTTAGAATTGACTTTAAAATTCTATTGATCACTTTTAAAGCTCTTCATGGCCTCTCGCCTTGTTATATTTCTGACCTTTTAGTCCCATACGCACCAGCACGTACCTTGAGATCCTCGGGCAGAGGTCTGTTGTCTGTTCCAGAGTCTCGACTGAAAACTAAAGGGGACAGAGCGTTTGCTGTCAGGGCCCCGAGGCTCTGGAACAGCCTGCCCGAGGAAATCAGGTCGGCTGAGTCACTGAACTCTTTTAAGTCCCTTCTTAAAACATACTTTTATAGGAGAGCCTTTCCCGATCTTATTTGACTTTATTTTATCCCTTTTATTTATTCTATTTTACAAATTTTATATTTATCTGTATTTTAGTCTTTTCAATGTTTTCATGCTTTTATCTTGTATTGTTTTTGTATTATTGTCTCTTGGGTATTATTGTCTTTACACTTGTTAAAGCACTTTGTAACTTGTTTTTGAAAAGTGCTCTACAAATAAAGATTATTATTATTATTATTATTATTATTATTATAATTAACTGAAACTGGACAAAACAAGACATTTGACGACAGACTCTGGGAAGCACTGATCGGCATATTCTGACATTTTATCGCTGAAAAAACTGATCGATTAATCGAGAAAATAATCAACAGGTTAATCGACTGTGAAAATTAATATACTTATTATATTCTCTCCATTAATAAATGTTGAATTGATTCATTTAGACAAACAGCTCTGGTGTTCAGGGCTGCAACTAATAATTACTTTGATTATCAATTCATCCACCGATTATCTTCTCTATTAATCAATTGGTACATAAGAAAATAAAATGTTAAAAAATTTTCAAATTACTGTCAAATAAGAGAAAGAAAAGCAGAAAATCTGCATGACTGAACAGCAGGAACTAATGTTGAGTCTGTTTTATCAATCAGAACATTTGCAGGTTAATTTCCAGTCGATCTTCTAATCGTTTCAGCTCTGCTGTTGTCACAGACGTTATTAAAGAGCGCTCGGATCTGGCTGATAAGTTTAGTTTCAGAGGTGAATCAGATCTTCTCCATCAGTTAGAAACAGTTTTCAGTTCCACAGAAAGTGTACAAAGCTGATAAAAAGTCAGTGAATAAATATAAAGAAGAGATCCTTTTAATTATCAGGGCTCCTACCAAACAGGCCCGTTTATCGATTTACCTGTGGTAGGCGTCCATGTTGTCCTCCGTCTCCATGGACAAAGACCTGTGGAGGAGGTACAGTCAGAGTTAGAGACACAACACGCAAGATGTTTCAACTTTCAACATTTTTAATCCAGTTTAAAGCGAATAGCATCACATTTAACAGGAGTTTCTGCAGATGCCAGTACAGGAGTGTAAAGAGGACATGTGGGAGTCCAGTCTGCTGCTAACACCTGCTCAGACACACAAACGGAGGTCTGTCCGTCTGCTAATCAATAACCCAGGAGGTGGAGGAGGAATCTGCATCTGTTTAAACTTCTCCTTCAGTAATACAGGCTGGATTGGACACTCATAGATCAGAGCCCTTAACCCCGGTGTTGTCTTATTAGGGCCACTCTGTGTAACAGCAGAAAGAAAGAAATTATATCTGATGACTTTTCCAGGAGTGGTCATTAGTAAAAGGGAAACCTGGCCTTTGTTTATGTTATAAGGTAAAATCATTAACACCCCCCCCCCCCCCAAAAAAAAAAATCAAATCAATTTCAGGCTAAATAAACATTTCTTGAACACATTTTAGTCAGAGGCTATGAAGGTGCTGCAGGTGAGAGTTCTGCCTTCGCTGAAGCCATCAGTGAACGTTTCAGGTGTCCGGGAGGAACAAGAGAACAATGATTCGGATGAGGATGAGGAGGAATCTGAAGAAGACTGTGGGCCGGATTCACTAACATCCTAAATAAAGGGTGCTGAATTTCGTGTGCATTGTAAAATATTGCACACTGTGCAATTTTAGTACCTGTTATGGGTGATTTCCTAAGAATTACTGTGTAGATGAGAACAGGAGCAAACACAACAGTGTTTTAATGGTTTCCCCCATGGAGAGTCTGGAGGGAAAGCAGCCACAGCGTAAAAACCTCGGTTTGTTTCGTTCTGTGCGTCAGTATGTGGAAATCGTCTGTACCGGCCCATCCTGCCTGAGATTGCACTAAGTGCTTTGGACAACACACCTGAAAAACTGCTTTGGGAAACCCCAGCAGAAACAGCTACAGTGTGCCCTGTACGCCCCATTCCCTCTCCGGTACCTACTACGGGTTGTGTCGCTGTTAAGACACAGACCGTTCCCTCTGGCTGGATGAATTTTATGCGTGATCCGTGCACTACTGCAGCGCCACGCAACTTTCTAAATTCTTCCATCTCACAGAGAAAAGCAGTCAGGTCGAAACGAAATTTGCTTTATTGGCATGAATGTTAAAACAACAGTATCGCCAAAGCTAAAGGAAAATACTAAACATGTTCTATTAAACATGGTTCATCGAATAAATAACATGTTTTTATTTCTATATTGGATCCATCCATCCATTGTCAACCGCTTATCCTGCATACAGGGTCGCGGGGGGGCTGGAGCCAATCCCAGCTGACATCGGCCGAAAGGTGGGGTACACCCTGGACAGGTCGCCAGTCCATCGCAGGGCCACACACATAGACGAACAACCACTCACGCCTAAGGACAGTTTAGGAGACACCACTTCACCTAGCCTGCATGTCTTTGGACGGTGGGAGGAAGCCGGAGCACCCGGAGAGAACCCACGCAGACACGGGGAGAACATATACTGGATATAGAACAACATTATCTAATATTGTTAATTTCGCTACTGTTCTTTCATTACAGCTGCGTCTCCTTCTCCAACGATAACAGCAGCAATCGCTGAGCAACACTTTGCACCTTCCTTTCAAACACATTAAATACAGATGATGTTGCGCTCACATGAAATAGCGTCTGGGCTTGTTAGATCACATTGCCTGTAGTAAATAAATGTATTTGCATGTTACCCTCCCATTACTTTGCACAATAAAACTGAAACGCCCCAAATTGCATATTCATTAAGGCAAAAGTAGTAAATGAACCACAGGTGCTGTCTGGCACTTTTGAAAGACGTCACTCTGCGTGCGCATCGTTAGTAGATCTTACCTGTTAATTTGCGGGTGATGGAGTTTGCACACGTTTTTACTCCCGTAAACCTTTAGTGAATCTGGTTATATCATCACTATGTTGCCAAAAAATGTTCTAGTATTTTGTTTCCCTTCAATAAAATGCATTTCAAACTACTTTCTGCACATTTCTGCTGGTTCCTCAGGCTACACAAAAAAATAATGTTTACACCTTTAGCAGTAATAATGATCATAATAAGCCTTTATTTTAATAACAGGTGTGTTATAATAAAAACTAGTGGTGCCCACAAAGGTCGTGATAAAGGACGACAGATTGTTTCGTGCAAAATAGATTTGAAGGTAAAAGGGTAAAAAATATGAGTTACAGATATCAGCATGAAACTTTTTGATTACCTAAATTAGTTTATGTTTAAATATGCAAATGAGTCAGTATCTAATGATAACTTTGCTTTAGTTTAGGAGAAATCCGCACATGCAAATGGACAAATTGCATACATATATATTTATTTTTTTAATCTGTGCAAGAAAAGAATCAGATCTGAGATGTTAACATTTGCTTCCATAACATGTCTTCGGTCACACTAGAAGCCCCAGAATTCATATTTAGGTGTGTATTTTACTGCAGTTTGTTCATTTGCATGTGCGGATTTCTCCTCAACTAACCCAAAGTTATCATTAGATACGGCCTCATTTGCATATTTAAACTTAAACTAATGTAGATAATCAAAACGTTTCATGCTGATATCTGTAACTCAGGCTTATTATGATCATTATTATTGCTAAATGTGTAAACATTATTTTTTTTGTAACCTGTGGAAGCTGCAGAAATATATATATATATATTCTAATCATTCTCATATTTTTTGTAGATATCTTTATATCTATACATGTTTATTGTTGTTGCGCACCCAAACAAAACAAATTCCTTGTACGTGTAAAAACACCTTGGTAATAATAGTGCATGAAAGAAACACGATGGTTTTTGTCTGTAGTGTCTTTAAATCCAATTCAGCTGCTTTATTTTAGGGGTTTAGTGAAGGAGGAGTATCCTGACAGTTTTCATCTCCCTTTCAGACTCTTTGCCGGGACAACAAAATAAAACCGCAGCGTCGCAGCGTCCATGCGGGTTTAAAAACAAACAGGAAGGAGGTTAAAAAGCTCGTGTTGGAACATGAACACCAGCTTTACTCACTTTTCCAGTTTCTCTGAAATCTCCTTGACTCCGCCGTCATGTTCAGAAACCTCCATAGTGACAGTTTCGGCTGTTCAACCTGTAGAAACGCGTTTTTCCCCGCAGACTAACAGGCAGCTGCTGCGGGATTCACCCGCCGGACACTTCGTGTTGTTGCGTTTGAACCCGCAGCTTCTCCCCCCGCCAATTCCTCCCGGCGAATCAGAGAGCACGCTGTACTGACGCTGCGGCGATGTCGTCCAATCCTGGAAACAGACAAGCAACAGTAGGCGGGACCAACAAAAGCACAGCCAATGAGAAGCGTTGAGCCCGAAAATCCCGACCAAAACAGTTGCGTTCAATGGCTGCAGGAAATGCCCCGACATTTCAGAATCTGCCAGAGTTACTGTGGAAAACGGCAAAATTATACAAACTCATACAAGAAAAACGTGTCCACCCAAATGTAAATGCTGAATTAATTAAATCTAAGTAATATTAATACGTCTCCCCAAATAAAAGTAGGCCTATGGTTCACATGCAGAACTAGAGCCAGGGTTTTTAAAAACACTGAGGTCATGAATGCATCTGAAGGGGGAATAAACATGGAACAAACAGAAGTACACAGAGTGGAATACAAGTATATAAAAAACACAAATAACAATAACATAGTGAGGAATACTATATTGTTATTGGATTTACCAAATTAAAAGTATATAATGTTCAACCTCATGCAGGAAAAGTAAAATGCTGAATTTACAATTATGAACACGACATTGTGCCATAAGAATGAATGCCTTTATTTTTATGTAAGTACTTATTTTCTTTTCTTTGACTTTTTTAAAAGTAAATTATTCTCCCACATCAGTGCTAAACAGCACGAGTGGAGTAAAGACACCAGAGGGAGGAAGCTGTATGACATCAAACCATCAATGAACCCTGATAATACGATGATCTTCTTCCCTCAGATGGATCAGATTATGTTGCCCAGATTAAGGCTGTTGGCAAGTGGTCTGGTTCTGGTGGGAAAACACAAGCAGGAGTGTTGGACTGGGGGAAGGAGGACTGAGCCAACAGAGCATCACAAAGATACTAGAACAAACAGCCGTGGATGCGGGGAGGGACCAGGGTCCGGATTTTTTGACGCCCCTGAACACAAGTACAGAGTTGTCGAGACCGTGGAGTCCGGGAGTCCGTCAAACACATCATCACGCTCTGTCCCAGACACGCTGAGGAAAGGAGGCTGTTGTTCACAAGTCTTAACGAGGAAGGAATTTAAATATTATAATAAAGATGACTGTCTTCATCACCAGTGGGGGGCAGCAATGTAACAGTGACCAGTCTGCCGGGAAGTATTCAGATCCTTTACTTACAGAAGTAAAACTAAAAACACAGTGTAAAAATACTTTGTTAGAAGTAAAAATACTGCATTGAAAATGTCACTTAAGTAAAAGTATGTGAGTAAAATCAGGAAAATGTGCTTAAAGCATTTTAAGTAAAAGTACTCAATGCAGAAAAATGTCCCCTGTGACTGTTGTACTATTACTGATGATTAGATTATTATTCATCATGCATTAATGTAAAGCAGGATTTTACTGAGCTGGAGCTCATTTTGAACTATTTGGTTTCGGATTGCAACTAAAGATTATTGGATTTTCTCCATTACTCGATTGTTTGTAAAAATTCTGTAAATAGTGAGAAATGTTGTCACAGTTACACAAGAGCCCAAAGTGACGCCTTCACGATGCTCACTTTGTCCGACCAACAGCTATTTTAACAAACATAACAATAATTAAAATAATTGAAAGGAAAAGCAGCAATTCTTCACATTTGTGAACCAGGAAATGTTTCTGGAATGCCTTTAGGAAAGCACCCCACACTTTCTGGAATTTCCCCTTTGATTGTTGAAGTGAGAATCTCATTTCCTCAATTTGTAAGCAGGACATGAGGTCCTCCAGAGGGTTGGCATCCCTCCACCTGCACAGAAGTACTCGCCGAGCGAGAAGAGAGATAAAGCATATCATGCATTGTTTTTCTGTGGTTAACCCTATGAACCCCTTTGAACTGAATTAGGCAGTGCACAGAGGGGGGCCTTCTGATAAAAAATTATCCATAGGGGCACGCCTAAGATCCAACACCATGCCATACAGCAGTGGTCGGCAATAGGCGGCCCGCTGGCCATAGCGGGCCCTCAGTAAGTGTTTCAGTGCAACGGTTAATAACCTGATAGCGTCAAAAGGACAGTGCAGCCTATAGATTTTAATCTGAGGATGAATCGCATTGTCCAATTCAAAACAACTTTTACATTTATATTCTTTCGTGGATGAAAGATGGATTGCAATTTGTTAAACAGTTGCTTGTGTATTGAATAATTTTGTTGTATAAAATTGATCAGACTAAATATAAAATCACATTCTTCATTTATCGTTTTTCTCTGTTAAATGAAAATAGTGGTGATCTAAACTTAACAAAATACGGCAGTTAACAACTGTAAATTAAAACAAAACATTAACATGTTTTGAAAGTAAAAAATGAAAAGCTGATGTCATTTACTGGTTTTTATTTGGAAATCGCTTTGAGACAAATGTGACATTCACTGGGAAATAACTGTATGTGGAAAACAAAGAATTATCTGCCCACTGAATAGTTTTGAAGCTGCGTTGTTTGCGACCTCTGAAAATATCTTGTGGGTGTTGCACCTGTTTAGCACTCTGAGAGCTCAAATTTCAACATCACAGTTAATGATACCACTTAGGATGAATAATTACTCTGAGCAGGTCATTCTTTGTTTCAGCTATTACACACAGGTTGTTTTGGATGTGTGCACATTCTTTTGTGTTTAAACTGGACTTATATCAGCAGCAAACAAGGCACTCTTTAAAAACTTCCCAGGCTCTGGTAATGGGTGTAAAGGCTAGTTATCATATATAACAGAAGGAGAGAAGGCCTTTCCACGTCACTCCAGCCAAGCCTACAGACTTCCAGCACACTGAGGATGCTTCCCAGGTCTCTGCAGCTCTCTGGGCATCAAGGTGGGACAAATGATCCACACACACAATGCTTCAGGTTATGAAAAATACGTTAATAAGTTAACTATAAAAGATGGCTCAGTTTTTAATGTCGTCAACACTATCACGTCACATCTGTGGGAGAAAGGAGAAGAACACCTCAAAATATAAATGACAGTCTTTGAATAACTATTTTGTTGTCCTTTGAAAACAGACAATGTAACATCAGCTGTCAAATGTCAAGTAGCAAAAACTAGTACTTCAGGTTTAAGCTGTGTGTAGCAGACCTGGTGGAGGATTCATGACCTCAAAAGAAGCAATCACTGGAAGACATCAAAACATCTTGTAACAAATATGAATGTACTTTCTTTCAAAAAGAGTCATTTTCAGGACAATAATATCGCCCAGTGCTGTCGATAGCAGTGCTGAAATCCAAAATCTAAATAGCGGTATGTGGAACAGCAAAACCGTGCTCTGGGCAAAATTACTGATTGAATTTTTTCCCCCCCGCCGTTTTAACTCCAAAATCCGCTGATGTTGTTGCTACAAGTCTAAACGGGCGCCATCTTGATTATTGCGTAATACCTGCGAGCTGCCTGCCTGCTCTCGACATTTCTCCAGAGAGGAAACATGCCGCTTGAGAACACACGGTGTTTTTCACCATTTTGTGGCCGACCCGTTGGAGATACATAGACAGGGTACCGAATGAAAGTTCTGCTCAAGCCGGATCAATTGATGCCCCCCCAATCACTGTGGGATGTTCTGTTCTCAATCTACAGGCCTGTAAAGCATGGGAGGGCTTTTTGGTGACAGGAATGTTGATGAATACTCCTGTTTTTATCAATATTTCAATGTTTGTCATTTGGAACTTGGTTGTATGGACAGAAAAAGTGTTTTTAAAGATATCTACCAATAAAAGCCAACTTTTAAACAGTAAATATTGCCAAAATATGAATATTTACCTGGTATATTTGAAAATGTTGTATGATAACGGTTGTATTTTAGTTTATTTTCATCAGATTTACAGTTACAATTGCATTCTAGGTGTATTAGAAGATATTCAGCTTGCTTATAATGGTTGTGTTGTTTTAGTGCATTAAAATACAGCTTTTTTTACCAGGCGAGGATGAAAATAACAGATTTTTTCTTTATTGTATCTCCATTTAGTCTGTAATAGTAAAAAAAAAAAAAAGTAATATACAATGGATTTATATTCCTTAGCTTCTTACTTTTCAAAGGAGACCAGAATTATGCATCTAGGCCTAATGGTTGAGGAGTTATTACTGATTAATTTTGGGTTTGTTATTTTAGTTTTTTCGGGAAAAAGGCGCCTGTTTTCAACAGCTTAATGTAGGCAGTTATTGCTGACATTTTGCAAGCTAAATAGCTAACATTACCATCATATGTAATCTACAAGGAATCATGGTGCTTGAGGCGTTGTTCAGGAGGGGCTTGACTAGGCATCCAGCTTTTAAGGTCGTTTTCAGACACTTTGCTGTGCACACTGATCAAATGCAGTTATCGCAACTTCTATAAGTGTGATGGAAAATGTATGAATTTACAGGTTGCTTACTCATTTATCACCCCTGATGAACCCCACCAAGAATATCTTATCGTTTTTAAACAGGAGGTGCAGGCAATGCTCGACAGACAGGCAGAACTCTGCACAACAGTTCAACGCTGGTGTTGTGCAACTAGAGCACCGAGCGCAGTCCCCCATAAATGCCCCCATCCCATCTGTCATAATGAACCTGGAGATTTGTTCAGCGTGGCATTTCTCCATGGAGATCTTCTCTTACCAGAGACCACCTCCACCTTGGCTGGTGCAATGGCATCAATAACATTTGTAATTTTAGAACTGAAATTATCTACAAGCTCATTGACTGAGACCCGTGAGAGGGTGGGTGTTGAGGAGAAAGCCTCAATAAATATTTAACTGGTGTTCTCAGTGATTTTCCGTTTTTCACCGTTTTGTGATTTCATCTGTTTGTACATTTGTGTGAACAAAGATAGCACTCGAAGGACAGTAGGGTGGTGTGAACGATGAAGGACTGTACGGTGTTGTGAACGCTGAAGGACAGCAGGGTGGTGTGAACGATGAAGGACTGTAGGGTGGTGTGAACGATGAAGGACAGCAGGGTGGTGTGAACGATGAAGGACTGTAGGGTGGTGTGAACGATGAAGGACTGTAGGGTGTTGTGAACGATGAAGGACAGCAGGGTGGTGTGAACGATGAAGGACTGTAGGATGGTGTGAACGATGAAGGACTGTAGGGTGGTGTGAACGATGAATGACTGTAGGATGGTGTGAACGATGAAGGACTGTAGGGTGGTGTGAACGATGAATGACTGTAGGATGGTGTGAACGATGAAGGACTGTAGGATGGTGTGAACGATGAAGGACTGTAGGATGGTGTGAACGATGAAGGACTGTAGGATGGTGTGAACGATGAATGACTGAAGGACTGTAGGATGGTGTGAACGATGAATGACTGTAGGGTGGTGTGAACGATGAAGGACTGTAGGATGGTGTGAACGATGAAGGACTGTAGGGTGGTGTGAACGATGAATGACTGTAGGATGGTGTGAACGATGAAGGACTGTAGGGTGGTGTGAACGATGAATGACTGTAGGATGGTGTGAACGATGAAGGACTGTAGGATGGTGTGAACGATGAATGACTGAAGGACTGTAGGATGGTGTGAACGATGAATGACTGTAGGGTGGTGTGAACGATGAAGGACTGTAGGATGGTGTGAACGATGAAGGACTGTAGGATGGTGTGAACGATGAAGGACTGTAGGGTGGTGTGAACGATGAATGACTGTAGGATGGTGTGAACGATGAAGGACTGTAGGGTGGTGTGAACGATGAATGACTGTAGGATGGTGTGAACGATGAAGGACTGTAGGATGGTGTGAACGATGAAGGACTGTAGGATGGTGTGAACGATGAAGGACAGCAGGGTGTTGTGAACGATGAAGGACTGTAGGGTGTTGTGAACGATGATCACTCACAATCTTAATTTCATGTTTTTAACTGAAACTTGGTTGGACCAAGATAACAGTGCCGCTGTCCTTATCGAGTCTACCCCTCCCAACTTCAGTTTTATGAGTGAAGCTAGAGTGCATAAGAGAGGACGTGGAGCTGCCATTTTGTTTAATGACTCCCTCCAATGCAAAAAGAAGTCTTATGGGAATTTTGCTTCTTTTGAATATGTGGCTCCTCAGCTGAATTCCTCTTCTCAAGCTGTTTTTCTAAATATCTACAGGCCCCCTAAATACTGTGCAAACTTTTTTGATGACTTTGGTGATCTGCTGTCTATAATCTGTATTGACTTTGACTGTGTGCTTATTGTTGGTGATTTTAACATCCATGTTGACAACCCCCAGGACAGAGGGACTAAAGAACTGTGTTGTGTTCTTGATAATTATGGACTGACCCAACATGTGACGAGGCCCACGCACAATAAGGGGCACATATAGGACTTGGTCATCTCCAAGGGTCTGAACATTTCCAAGGTTGTGGTGACTGCTGTTGCTCTCTGATCATTCCTGTGTTTTCTTTGAGAGTGCTATCTGCGTGCACAAAAATGTACAAACGGAGGTAATCACAAAACGGCATATCACTGAGAACACCAGGGAAAAATTTATTCAGGCTTTCTCTTCGACACCCGCCCTCTCACGGGTCTCAGTCAATGAGCTTGTAGATAATTTCAGTTCTAAAATTACAAATGTTATTGATGCCATTGCACCAGTCAAGGTGAAGGTTGTCTCTGGTAAGAGAAGATTTTCTTGGAGAAATGCCACGCTGGAAAGAACTCATAAAGGAGAGGGTCGAAAAGCTGAAAGCAGATGGAGGAAAACAACTCCTGGTTCATTATGACGTCTATAAAGACAGACTTCGCATTTATAATTTAAAACTGAGAAATGCAAGGAGGTCCTTCTTCTCTGACTTCATCACCAACACTAATAATGCACGTGTCCTGTTTGCTACTGTCTATAGGCTAACCAACCCTCCTGTGTCTCTAGCCTCTGAACAATTTTTTTTCAAAAATGTTTCTAAATGCATGGCCTCAGATCTACTACAAGAGCAATCTAGACAGGTCACTAATGAGCAATTATAGGCCCATATCAAATCTCCCATTTTTAAGTAAAATCATTGAAAAGGCTGTTTTTCAACAGCTTTTTTGGCACTAAATAACTGTTTTGATGTCTTCCAGTTAGGTTTTCGACCACACCACAGCACTGAGACGGCTCTTGTTAAGGTCTTCAGTGACATCCATTTAAACACTGACAGTGGCAGAATTTCAGTCTTAGTATTATTGGATCTCAGTGCTGCATTCGACACGGTCGACCACAACATATTACTAGACAGACTGAAAACTGGGTTGGACTTTCTGGCACAGTACTAAACTGGTTTGAATCCTACTTAAAGGACAGGGACTACTTTGTGTCTTCAGGTAATCACACAAATGAGCTAACAAAAATGACATGTGGAGTTCCCCCAGGCTCCATTCTGAGACCTCCTTTTGTTTAACATTTACATGGTTCCACTGGCTCAGATTATGAAAAACAACAACATATGTTACCATAATTATGCAGATGACACACAGATTTACATAACCATTTCACCAGGGGACTATGATCCCATTCAGGCGCTGAGTAACTGTATTGAGCAGGTCAACGACTGGATGTGCCAGAACTTTCTTCAATTAAACAAGGATAAAACTGAAGTTATTGTTTTTGGAGCCAGGGAGGAATGATTGAAAGTCAGTGCACAGCCTGAATCTGTAATGTTAAGAACCACAAAACCAAGAAATCTTGGTGTAGTCATGGACTCAGACCTGAATTTGAGGAGCCACATTAAGACAATTACAAAGTCAGCCTACTATCACCTGAAGAATATTTCAAGAATTAAAGGACTTATGTCTCAGCAGGACCTGGAAAAACTTATCCATGCATTTATCTTCAGTCGACTCGACTACTGTAACGGTGTCCTTACAGGCTCCCTAAGAAATCCATCAGACAGCTGCAGCTGATTCAGAACGCAGCTGCTCGAGTCCTCAATAAGACCAAAAAGGTGGATCACATCACTCCAGTTCTGAGGTCTTTACATTGGCTTCCTGTATGTCAAATAATTGATTTCAAAATCCTGCTGTTAGTTTATAAAGCACTAAATGGTTTAGGGCCAAAATACATTTCCGATCTTCTGCTTCGTTATGAACCATCCAGACCTCTCAGGTGGTCTGGGATCAGGTCTGCTTTCTGTCCCCAGAGTCAAAACTAAACAAGGAGAAGCAGTGTTCAGTTATTATGCTCCGTATATCTGGAACAAACTCATAGATAACTGCAGGTCTGCTGAAACTGTCAGTTCTTTTAAATTAAGACTGAAGACTTTTCTTTTTACCATTGCTTTTAATTAAATATTTAAGATTTTTCTTTTTATTGATGACTTACACTGCACTGTAACTTTTACTGTCCTGTTTTCTTTTTCTTTATTTTTAGCTTTTTACCATTGCTTTTAATTAAATATTTACACGGTGAGAAATTAGTAGGTAATTGAGTGAAAAGATAATGGAAGTGAGATTGAACAGAGTGAAGGAAGTGGTCTTAAATCTTGCACCCGAGTGATTTGCAGGACTCTCTGTCCAACTGTAAACGCGCAAGTGGGTCCAGAGTATAACTGGATCAAAGTGGCTTGCGGACAGACATGTCCTGGTTTCTCTGTAGTGTTGAAGGGTTTTTGGAGTTTCAGTGGACCCAAAGATTGCTATGGACCCGAGTACAGACTAGCTAGAGAGAGTAGATTAAGTGTACTTCTCTGTTTATTCTCTTTTCAAAATAATTGTGACTCACTTATTTGCTCAACCCCTCAGCCTGTTTTTATTTTCCATTTAACTCTTTTAACCCTGATTGTACACTGCACTGTAACTTTTACTGTCCTGTTAAACCCTGTTTCTTTTATCCTGTTTTTATTTTCACCCTTATATTTTAATGTGTATTTTTTCAATTTCCCTATGTTGCTTTTATGTTTAATGTAAAGCACTTTGAATTGCCTTGTTGAAATGTGTTATAAATATAAACTTGCCTTGCCTTTTGTGCATATAGCAGTACATTTAAATTAAAGGCGTGCTATACACTACCTAGAATTCATCATTCAATTTTGCGCATAGCAATGTGATGATGAAAATGTTTAATCTATGCCCTCTCCACATAAAATAAATGTCAAAAATGACATCTTTATAACCTCTGAAGGCTCTTGCTACACACATCTTCATATTTTTATTCACATTATTGGGTTAGTTATGAAGATATTTCACAGCAAAATGCATAAAAATACTTAAATTGCAAAGAGAAATTATGAAATAAGCAACTTTATTAATTATTAAATGATTCAACATGATTATGAAATAATCTAAAAGCTAAAAAGTGAAGTAAAGCATCAGTCCTGCGTTACAAAATTAAGCAAAATTAAGCAAAATTAAGCAAAATTGGCAAAAGTGGCACTGCTAATTCTGTCATTAAAGAACGCAGTTTTGGCAGAACTGATGCTTGTTAAGAATGAGGATAGGAGCATTTGGTAGGCTTTAAGGTCGGCAGGGTCTCTGGTTTCTCGCCATTTTCTTTCAGCGGCTGAGATCAGCGCGCAGCCTACGGTTGGTATCAGTTAGCCACGGGTGGGACTGGTTCGGGCGAGCAGGCTTGGTGGATAGAGGACACAGACTATTCAGGCATGAGCTCAGTTTAGAGCACAGAGATTGTGCAGCATCATTGACCTCGAGTGAGGAAAATGTGTTGAGGGGAGGCAGAGCATAAGCTACCACTGAGGCAAAGTGAGCGGGAGACGGAGGTTGCCTTGGTCTCAGACATACGGTGCTGGAACAGTGAACTGAATGAAATAGTGGTCAGACATGTGTAGAGGTGTGACTCTTAGGCATTCGGTGGCATAGTTTCCGACAAGAACGAGCTCAAGAACCTTGCCAGCTTTGTGTTGAGAGGCTGAAAACCTGTGTTAGTTCAAAGGACTGAATCAGAGACTGCTGAGTTTGATTTGTCTAGGTGAATGTTCATGTCATCGAGGACAAGTAACGGATAGCCATGCTCTTTAAGTGAGTAGGTGTGCTACTCTTGTACATTACATATACATTTATTCATTTAGCTGATGCTTTTAGCTGATACATGTCAGAGGTCGCACAACTCTGGAGCAACTAGGGGTAAAGTGTCTTGCTCAGGGACACATTGGTAGATGGGTCACAGTGGGGAGTTGCACACCAAAGGCAGGCATCTTATCCATCACCACCCCTTAGATGTAGGTGGACTCGCACAGGTACACTCTTTACCCGAGTAGGACTTCTCTTGAGGAGCAGGCACTTATGCTGACACTTCAGTGATAGGTTTTATTAAAGTAGTATGAGACCAAATGCATACAGGTGCCGAACTAACAAGACATAAGGGTAGAAACCTGGAGCTGAGAGCCACAGACAGGAAGTTTGAAAAGACTGACACACGTTTTTTCTCTTTTCATGGTGAGAGTAATAAAAATAGAGATTCTAACGTAATCTAATAATTCCAGCCATATTGTTTAAAGGGAACATCAGTATAAAAGTGTAAAATCCTGGACTGAGCTGATGGTGGGTTGTGTGGCAGCTGAGATGAGCTCCTTGGAGGTCCTACTCTGCTCCCTGAGCTCCTTCCTCTTCAGTCGACCCTCCTTCAGCTGCAGAAACACCCTTGTTATAATAATCCAGCTGAATGTCCTCCTGCCTGCCCGGCTTCTGCCCCCTGCAGACCTGGAGAGACATGAAAGCACACATGTGAGTTAGTGCATCACTCCTCCTCTTCTTCAGTAAACACAGACCGAGTGCTTCATCTCAGTCCTCTGAACAACAGACACAGTCAGTACCTTACAGTAGAAACAAAGGGCAGCAGTCACCAACAGCAACACCAACAGCAGAGTCAGCGGCAGGACGGCCTCTTTGATGAGAGGATCTGTTGGATCTGATCAAACACAAGGACAGTCATCACATCAAATCACACACCATCATGAGTCCATCAGCTCCCATTAAACACAAACTGTAGTGACCTGAAATCTCCCAAAACCACTTCAACATGGAGCTGTGGGATTCTGTCCGTCAGTAATCTATATCAACAGATATCTGAACGCAGAATCTGGAGGCTGGGGACCAGAACAACTTAGGCCAAAGGTCGAGGATTAACTTTGTGATTGAATCATCAGACCTGAGGCCGTATGTATTGGACACTCAGGGAAAGAGCTGATCAACACCTGGTGGTGAGTTGGATCAGAAGGCTGCCAGACAGACCAGGTAAACCTAAGCATTTAGTGAGGATGGATAGGGTGGCCCCTGTGCGTAGGATCTCCCACATCCCGGGGGAGGGTGGGGTCATGGAATCCGTCCCTGTTCAAAGCCTCCATTGTAGAGATTGCTGGCAGGAGCTGTGGCCAGAAGCTGATCATTGGTGCCTGATCAGTTTCTGGCCAGAACTGCTGACTCTGGAAAGAGCACTTTGAGCGGCCATCCAGTCTACATGTGTTTGTTGACCTCAAGAAGGTTTACAACTGTGTCCCCCTTGGAAATGTGTGGGGGTACTGTGGGTGTATGGGGTATTGTGGCCATTGCTACGAGCAATCCGGTCCTTGCCTAAGAGCTGTATCCATATTCTTGTAACACGTTTTCAGTGGGTGGTGGACTCTGATCCTGATATTCAGATAGACCATAGTAAGTAACGTTACTGTACTGAGTGGGTACATTACTCATTTAGCTTGTCCTGCTCCTTTATGTAGCAATTTTGTATACTACGTGGGTCATGTAAATTTCAGTGACTGAGATTGGCGATGAAGCGGTGTACCTGAGTATAAGTAAAATGACCTGTGATTATCTTTGATCTAGCTGGCTGCCTTGCATAACTTTTTAGTATAAACACACGCTTCACATTTCCTTTGTACTGTTACATCATTTCTTGTAGGCTAAAGCTTCCAGAAACAAGCCCACCTCTCTACACTTTAGGACGTCATTGTCCTGGAGGACTTTACAGTTCAGTCCAATGGAAACTGAGACAGAGGAGAGGACACACTGGAGACATTACTGTCATACATGATGTCACTGATGATGTATCTGATGGGCTCACCTGAGCAGGTGAGATCAAGGATGGAGGAAGAGGAAGCTGATGTTGCACACTCCCTCAGAGCAGATCCAGACTGAACACAGTCAGAGCTGATCCGCCACACAGGTCTGTCTAAGGACTCGTTTCTCTCTCCTACAGAAACAGCAGAGCCACAGCCCAGCTCTCTACAGACAACAGCTGCTTCCTTCAGGGTCCAGACAGAGTCAGAGTCCGTCACTGGTCTCCAGTCTCCCTGATGTTTCAACTCCAGTGTTCCTGCACAGGGACTGGCTCCTCCCACCAACGTGACAGATCCTGAACAGAAACAAGAGAGTCATCTGTAAAACAATAAAGTGAGTTTCATCAGAACAGAAATGAACCAAATCAAAACTGCAGCTCCTCTTCTACCTGAGCAGGTGAGATCAAGGATGGAGGAAGAGGAAGTTGATGTTACACACTCCCTCAAAGCAGATCCAGACTGGACACAGCCAGACCTGATCGACCACACCTGTCTGACTGAGGACTCCTTTTTCTCTCCTACAGAAACAGCAGTGCCACAGTCCAGATCTCTACAGACAACAGCTGCTTCCTTCAAGGTCAGGAGAAAGTATCTCACTAGTCTCCAGTCTCCCTGATGTTTCACCTCCAGTGTTCCTGCACAGCGACTGGCTCCTCCCACCAACCTGACAGGCTCTGAACAGAAACAAGAGAGTCATCTGTAAAACAATAAAGTGAGTTTCATCAGAACAGAAAGGAACCAAATCAAAGCTGCAGCTCCTCTTCTACCTGAGCAGGTGAGATCCAGGATGGAGGAAGAGGAAGTTGATATTACACACTCCCTCAAAGCAGATCCAGACTGGACACAGCCAGACCTGATCGACCACACAGGTCTGTGTGAGGACTCCATTCTCTGTCCTACAGAAACAGCAGAGCCACAGTCCAGATCTCTACAGGCAACATCTGCTGTCTTCAGGATCCAGACAAAGAAACTCACTGGTCTCCAGTCACCATGATGTTTCACCTCCAGTGTTCCTGCACAGCGACTGGCTCCTCCCACCAACCTGACAGGCTCTGAACAGAAACGAGAGTCATCAGTAAAACAATAAAGTGAGTTTCATCAGAACAGAAAGGAACCAAATCAAAGCTGCAGCTCCTCTTCTACCTGAGCAGGTGAGTCCAACAGCTTTTCCAGGTGAGCAGGTGTTTCTAGCTGAGCCTGATTTTCTACAGTCCAGGAGAGCAGACTCATGGCCTCCACACTGGAACTCTTTGGTCCACATCGGAGCCTCCACTTCTCCATAGAGCGCCCCCTGGAGGACTGAAGGAGCCCCACAGCCGAGCTCCCTACAGACCACCTCTGCATCCTGCTGGTCAAAGTCAGCTTCACACACTGAGGACCACCACTGGTTAGACTGGTTAGACTGGTTAGACTTCACCTCCAGTCTGCCTGAGCACAGACTAGTCCCGTCCAGCAGCCTGACAGAGTCTGGAGAGATAATAGAAGATGAAATAGAGATAAAGACACCAGACACAAAATAAAAACATGTCATGAAACAACAATTCAGTGATTCAAAGTGGACTCAGCACAACTCCAACATCAGTTAATCATTAACAACAGAACACATCTTTCTAACAGCACAGACTGCAGCAAGTTCACCAGCACATTTACATTTAATACTCTGTCACACTGAATAATAATACACACAAGCCCAAGGACGCTTAACAAACAAAAAGGGGGCGGGGATTAGCAAGTCCATGGAGAGATTTGTACGTACCAAGGAGGATTTTATATTTGATCCGGGTCTTAACTGGAAGCCAGTGGAGCTTCTTCAGGATGGGAGTGATGTGAAGTCCAAGTTTTGTGTGGGTGAGCATCCTAGCCACAGAGTTCTGGACCTACTGGAGTCTGTCAGAGGTTACTGTCCATCCAGTTCTTGATGTCCTTCAGGCAGTTGATAAGCGGCACTGGTGGAAGGGGAGTAAATGACTTAGTGCTGAAGTCGATCTGGGTGTCATCAGCGTAGTAGTGGAAGAGGAGTCATGCTTCTGGATGATCATCCCAAGAGGTAGCATGCAGATACTGAATAGTAGCAGGCCAAGCACAGATCCTTGAGGCACGCCATGTGAGACTGGCGACAATTCAGAGCAGATGCCCTTAAGGGTGATATTTGTTGCCTGTTGGTGTGATAGGATTGAAACCAGGAATACACAGTACCAGTGAGGCCAATGAGTTCGGAGAGGCGAGTGAGAAGAATTGAGTGGGAGACTGTATCAAAGGCTCCAGAGAGGTCGAGAAGGCATGGCCAGAGTCAGCTGCCATGAGAAGGTCATTTGTGATTTTGATGAGGGCAGTTTCTGTGCTATGATTGACATGGCTTGTAGAGGTTGTGATGTAGCATATGATGGTTGAGCTGGGCAGCCACAGCTCTTTCCAGTAACTTGCATATAAAAGGTACATTGGAGATTGGGCAGTAGTGGTTTGGATCATCTGGGTCCAGGCCAGGAGTGTAGGGATCGCCGCCGCAGTTTTAAAGCCGGTGGGGACCACCCCAGAAGACAGCGAGGTGTTGATGCTGTTGACCAGTGTGGGACCCAGAGTTGGAAGAAATGCCTTGAACAAGGCAGTCGGCATTGGATCCTGTTTGCTGTTCATGGCCTTAGCTTTTGACACTAGCTCAAGAACTTGAGCTGTATTAAGTGGGGAGAAAGAGGAGAGGCAGTCCTGCGGTGTGGAGACAGATGAAGAGTTTATGTCCAGCAGCGGTAGTGTGGTTGGGTGGGAAGTTGCTGGTAAATGGTTATTACCTTTTTCTGGAAGTATTCCAGGAACCTGGAGCATAGGCCAGCAGCTTCAGATGGTTGAGGAGGGTCAGGTGGGCAGAGTAGGCGGTGGAAAAAGTTGTTGGATGCCAAAGAGTGTCAAGTAATTGTTTTCACACTTGACAGAGCATCTTTGTAGTTCTTAACATGGTCATTGTAGGCTTCCTGGTGGACAGTGAGGCCAGATTTTTTGTAGTACCTCTCCAGCCTCCGCCCTGTGGCCTTCATGAGGCGGAGTTCAGCAGTGAACCAGGGAGCGGGACAGGAGAAGGAGACAGATCGAGTGATGAGGGGGGCAACAGAGTCCAGACTATGTGACAGGCCCAGGTTGTAGTGATTAACCAAGTCATCAACTGTGTAGTTCGGGGGATCGCTGGTAGGATGGCCTGCAAGGGTGCAGGATAGTTTTGGTATGCACACTTTTCACACACTTCCTGTGTGTGTGCACAGAAACAGAGAACATGACCGCAAGGTGATCAGAAAGAGCCAGGTCAACAGTTTGTAGATGGGTGGGGGTTGTACCTGTGGAGCATACCAGGTCCAGTGTTTGACCTTTAGCATGTGGCGGGACTTAGGCGGGCGATAGACAAGGACCACCTGTAGCTGCAGAGGCCCAGATAGAGCAAAGTGAATGCACTCAAATGAATTATCTGCATGATGTATAACAGCCAGTCTCCCACCACGTCCAGAACTACGGGGCTTTTGAATGTAACTATAGCCTTGGGGGGGTAACTTGGTTAATCGCAAGAAAGTCCATTTGGTTCTGCCAAGTTTCAGACAGACACAGAAAATCCAGTTATGATGTCGTGTATGAGTGACGTTTTATTATTTAGTGAGCGAGTTCAGCAGCATAAATGAGGCAACAGCCCGTTCTAAGGGCCGTAGGTTACATGAATGTAAGCGCGGCTCACTCACACACGTCGTCGCTGAGTAGTGATACACCGAATAGCAGGAGTAGCCAGGGATGTCTCCATGTAAACAAACTTATGTCGGGCAGCCCTGTGCACATAGCGGTGGTAACGTAAGAGATGGAGAGATTTAATCACCTCAAGGCTAACGTTACTCTGTACGATTTACGAGGTGAGATTCTTGATTTCCAAAGCGGAGTACCTTAGGAAAGCCATAATGCCAGAGGTGACCGCTAGCTTGTCCAACGCTAGCTGGCGTTAGCTTACAAGCCATAGACCATCCACCAGAGAATCACAGCCAAGCTTCAACAGAGACTACTGTGGAGGATCAAGCCGTCATCAGTGGTAATTACAGCTGTTGGCAATTTTAGGATAGAGTAAAGCCAAGGTTTGGAAGTAGCCTGTCGACCACTCTGCAAGGTAATGTAGCAGCTGGAAAAAGCCACTGGTTTAATAGAGCCGTAGCAACATCATCATCTGAAGATTTCTCTGTTCTGTTCCTTCTGCTCAGGTACTCCACAATCTTTGCTCTCCACACTATCAAGTTCACTAGTGATGTGTTGAACGAGTCGGCTCTATGAGCCGCTTCTTTGAAGTGAACGATGGGAGCTGGCTCCTGTCTAGAATATTATTCTTGAAACATCCCACTTTTTAATAATCATTTATACAGAATATTTAAACGTACTACAGCTGAAGATCTAGCATATTTCTTTCTTACAACCAATAAAAATGTAAATTTTTGCACAGACCAAACCCCTACACTATGTTGTTACACTCTACGGTGGCTCCTAAGGGTTAGGTGAGGAGTTTTTTTTAGGACTACTTTTGCGTTCCCTTGCAATACTTCTCCTTCTGAGCTATAGCTGTGTCTGCTCAGCTGCAGCAACACCCCAGTGTGGATTAGCTTATTGAATTTTACTTTGAACCGGGCATTTCCTCTGATTACTGGTCATCATGCATATTTATGTCCTTAATGAAAAGGACCAGGCACCACGGCGGGTGCTGTGATCGCTCCAGAGGACAGGGAGGGGGCCGGGATAGAGCCATGCTGGCCCAGCTTGGACTTAAGGCTGCTCCTGGTAAATGTCCGGTCTGGAGGAAATGGGACTCATGCTGCCAGACACCGGGAAATCAAATACTGTTAAGCCCACATCTTTCCACAGACCTGCCCAACAATGTCCCGGAGCACTCAGCAGGTGCACCGTTTTCTGTCAGAGCGCAAGGCTCCGGTGAGATGAGAGAAGGTGGAGTCTGTGTTTACATTGGTGATGCTCGGTGCTCAAACGCAGTCAAAGTGGTGGATCCTACACGTCAGACTTTTTATAAAGTTTACATATCTCACATTATGGATCATCTTTTCCAAAGCTGCATGGAAACAGTCAGTGTGACGTTTCAGCTGCTCTGCTTCAGCTTACCTGAGACTGTGAGAGACAGCCGACGGCTCTCAGAGGAGAGGTCATGAGAAAATACTGAGACGTGATAAACACAGCTGTAGCTTCCTTGGTGGGCAGGCTCTGCAGCAGGAAACAGGAAGTGGGCTGAGTGATTGACAGCTGGCTGGGTGTAGTTGTGTGATGTGATGGAGGAGGTGAAGGCGAGCTGGAAGGAGCCTCCTGGGTACTGTGGCTGGACGGAGCAGCTGATGTTGAAGGTGGAGCCCCCGGACACCTGAAAGCCCTGCTGCTGGGCCTCGGAGACCCCGTCCCCGGAGGAGGACACAGAGATGTTGGGCTGAAGCAGCAGGTCTGTAAACACACAGATGATGAAAGGTCACATTCACCCTCCGTTCAACAAAATGGCCCCTGAAAAAGGAAGTGATGTCACAGGTCTGACACAGGTAACAAACATGGAGCAGAGCGATGACAGACTGTAAAAGGAGGGACTTGATCCTGGTGGGACGTCCCCAAACAGACAGGGGTGCGTTTCCCAAAAGCATCGTTGCTAACTATGGTAGCAACTTCCTTGGTTTGAACTATGCAGTTACGACGCAGCTATTTCCCAAAACCCCAGTTCGAACTATGGAGGTAACTAAGTTGGTAACTTGCAAGGTACGAGCCATCATTAAGCGATGCAGGTGTTCCACGAAACCATAGTTCTGACGAACGTTCGTGACCACTGTCGTTAAGTTGCATAGTTCGAACTATAGTTCCTGACCTGTGTTTAGAAGGTTAGTTCATGGTGACTATGTCACAGATAGCAGAAAATGCAGTGTTAGGAAGTGGATTTAATAGGTTTTTAAGCAGGGAATGTTAGATAAACCTGCTGTACAAACATATTTATGGTGAAGTAGTTGTAAAAGTACTTTTTAAATGTATTTGTTGGGTCATGGGAAACAGGTGTTTCTCTCACAGATTACCCATCTGTTCACAATAACTTAATTTAATATTAATCACCCAGTAGGCCTAGCTTGCAAAGGTTAAAGGACAAACAAAGAATGTAAAGACAAGACTTTTAATATTACCTTAAGATGGGTGTTGTCTAGTCTTCATTACAAACATAAATATAAAAAGGGACAGCATAAAATTCATGAAAGTACTTTAATGAATAAATTCCTGAGAGCTTTCATTGCCATTATAACAAAGATAAATAGAGAACTCAAGGGACCGACTGCAGCATCATCTCCACACAGCACAATAAACTGTGCTGTAAACTACTGTAAGACAGTTCAGAGACACAAAGCACTTAACATGCTGTTTTCTGAGTTTACTGGAGATTTATTAAAGTAATACATGACGATCCATTGATAGTCACCTGTCTGTTCTATCTGAAGTCATAAAGATTACATTAGTCATTAAGATCAATTAACCCTGGTACCGTGGGATCACTAAAAGTAATGTTAGAAAGGTAAATCTGATCTGAACGTGTTTTCAAGAGGAACCAAAAAATGTCCACAAGGTAGGTGATTGTAGCTGTAGGTAGTGTAGCTGCTTTTAAAAAAACAGAAATGTAACTACATACATGTGTAACTGTGCTGTGCAAATATTGTAAATCAACGCATTTATTGTATAAATTACCAGAAATCGCTTAAAATGCCATTTTGTCATTTCTCTCGCTCATTTTCAATTGCCCTCCTAGGACTTCCGGGAACTCTCTGCGGTCTCCATGAACCATGCGACGATGTAACGTTTTGGACCCCCGCTGATGCGACTCTCTCTTTAAAGGTCTCTGCCCTACCCAAGTGAGTAGTATAGCTACGGTGCCTGAGACGGGACAAAGATGTCATCCATGAGATAAAAGAGATTGCGAGTCAAGAAATTAGTTTTCTTTAGATAGATGTGTTAAGAAATTATATAAATTATGTAAAACCAAATGTCACATCATACTCATACTCCTGTAATACATTATTTTACATCTTGGGAGGGGGTTGGCTCATCAGGACCAACATACCAAAGAAAATGAAAAACATCTAGTGCATCAAGAATGACCACTGACAGACAACAGGACAATTTAAGCCTCACTGTTTCTGCACCACAGTCCATTATAAACCACATAATACATGAAGTTTACAAAGGCATTGTCAGGTGAGGATCAAGGCTCCTCTTCATCCATCCATCCATCTTCATCCACTTATCCGGGGTCGGGTCGCAGGGGCAACAGCTCCAGCAGGGGACCCCAAACTTCTCTTTCCTGAGCCACATTAACCAGCTCTGACTGGGGGATCCCGAGCCGTTTCCAGGCCAATGTGGAGATCTCCACCTAGTCCTGGGTGTTCTCCGAGGCCTCCTCCCTAGGGAGGCGTCCAGGAGGCATCCTTACCAGATGCCCAAACCACCTCAACTGGCTCCTTTCAACACAAAGGAGCAGCGGCTCTACTCTGAGCTCCTCGCGGATGGCCGAGCTTCTCACCCTATCTCTAAGGGAGACACCAGTCACCTGCCTGAGGAAACCCATTTCGGCCGCTTGTAGCCGTGATCTCTTTCTTTCGGTCATGACCCAGCCTTCCTGACCATAGGTGAAGATTGGAACAAAAAATTGACCAGTTGATCGAGAGCTTTGCCTTACGGCTCAGCTCAGCTCTTTTCGTCACAACGGTGCGGTAAAGTGAGTGCAATACCGCCCCGGTTGCTACGATTCTCCGGCCAATCTCCTGCTCCATTCTCCCCTCACTCGTGAACAAGACCCCGAGGTACTTGAACTCCTTCACTTGGGGTAAGGACTCATTCCCTACCTGGAGTTGGCACTCCACCGGTTTCCTGCTTAGAACCATGACCACAGATTTAGAGGTGCTAATCCTCATCCCAACCGCTTTGCACTATGCTGCAAACCGATCCAGTGAGGGCTGAAGGTCAGGGACCGATGATGCCATCAGGACCACCTCATCCTCAAAAAACAGTGACGAGATCCCAAGCCCACCGAACCGCAGCCCCTCCTCGCCACGACTACGCCTCGATATCGTGTCCATGAATATCACAAACAGGATTGGTGACAAGGCACAGCCCTGGCGAAGGCCAACCCTCACCTGGAAAGAGTCCGACTTACTGCTGAGTACTCAGACACAGCTCTCGCTTTGGATGTACAGGGATTGGATAGCCCTGACAAGGGCCCCCCTCACCCCATTCTCCCGTAGTACCTCCCACAGTATCTCCCGGGGGACCTTCTCCAGATCTACAAAGCACATGTAGACTGGATGGGCATACTCCCAAGCCCACTCCAGGATCCTTGTGAGGGTAAGGAGCTGGTCAGTTGTTCCACGACCGGGACGAAAACTGCATTGTTCCTCTTCGATCTGAGGTTGACAGCCCAGCTGAACCTTCCGTTCCAGCACCTTGGAGTAGACTTTACCGGGGAGGCTGAGAAGTGTGATACCCCTGTAATTGGCACACACTCTCTGGTCCCCCTTTTTGAAAAGGGGAACCACCATCCCAGTCTGCCACTCCTTGGGCACTGTACCCGACTTTGGGTGAAAAGCGGGGTACACCCTGGACAGGTCGCCAGTCCATCGCAGGGCCACACATAGACGAACAACCACTCACGCTCACACCTAAGGATTATTAACCTAATTAACCTAGTCCGCATGTCTTTGGATGGTGGTAGGAAGCCGGACCACCTGGAGAGAACCCACACAGACACAGGGAGAACATGCAAACTCCACAAAGAAAGGCCGGGGCACCTGGGGTTTGAACCCACAACCTTCCTGCTGTGAGGTGACAGTGCTAACTACTGCACCACCGTGCCGCCTCTTACCAAAATGTCTTTTTAATTTTTTGAAATACAACAGAAACACAAAGTAGTACTGACAGCCATAAATTCAGCTTGTGGTAAAACGGTGCAACATTTTAATGAGCATTTAGCATGTGAAATTACAAATTACACATTTGTGTGCACAGTGGGAGGCAATATCCAATAATGTTTTTTAATGCAAATTCTGAAAGTATTCATTATTGGTCACTTGATAGGCACACGGTCTTGTTATATATCACCATTAGCAGTAAAAAGTTTAACTGCTGATCTGAGCTTCCCTGCTGTTACCGTTTCATTACCAATAATATTCATCAGCTGTTTGTCTTAGTTAAAGGCACATGTCTGCCCACGTAGCAAAGCCACATCAGAGCGCTGTAGAATAACTACATGAAGTTAAAATCCAACTACATCTGTTTTCTACCACCGCAGTAATGGTTTAGCTGGCTGATCTGAGCTTCGATGCTGGAAGCTGCATTTTATTGCCACAAAATCCGTGATTTCCGTCCTGACTCTGTCTGGCTGCATGGTATAAATCCACAGGCTGTCGGCTCTCGTACTAAAATACACATGTGCTCCTTCATTTGTCCAAATGTCACTTCTCTTCTTACTTCTAATAAACCAGAAGACTACTACAGATTGTATTTCACTATTATTATTATTATTATTATTCCCTCTTCTTTTTCTTTGTACGTATTCAATGTAGACACGCAGACTACCTTCCGTGGTTGTACGGGAAACGCAACCCAGACTGTGATGGATTTCACTGTTGCTGCTATTTTGTCTTGTATGTTAATGAGACTGTGAGGTTCCTGGCTGGGGATTGGCTGGTTCCGAGGAAGTTCTGGCTGATCTCGTGTCCCACATCAGAGATCCCCGATTGGAGCGGCGCAGCAATACTCTTCCAATCCCTGAGCTGCCTGCAAGACCGCCTTGAAACTCCTCCGGTTCAAATAGGCTGGCCTGCTGCTGTGTGGAGGCAGTTACCATTCTCCATGTAGTTTGTACTTCTGAGCTGGTCATTGTATTGAATCCTGTATGTGTGTGTGTCTTTTGTTGCAAACTAGTAGCGATTATAGTTTGCGTTGTGAGACTGGCCAAAAGCACCTTCTTGTTAGCTGTGACCTAAATTCCTGTGTGTTGCCAGTTAGTGTTACTGAGAGTCGTAGTCATTAATTTTGTTAGACTCACTAGGGTTAGGGGTGCTGCACTCCCTGTGTTTCTGTTTAAAACAACAAGAGAGGTTTTTGGTTCTCCTTTTGTTTGTAGTTACTAGTCTCTTGTTTAGAAGGGATCTCTTTTGGTTATATTTCATTATTTGGTTTACGCAGCACCCACTTGCCCAATTTCTGTTCTGACTTCTGTTTGTTTTACCTCTGTTTAGTAAATAACATTTCCTCCTTACCAACAACATCTGGTTTATGTTTATGTCTCCCCTACGCCTAGCAAGCGGGGACAACACAAAGACAGACAGGTTCCCCCAGGTGTGTCCTGTCAGGTGAAGCTTCCAGAAACAAGCCCACCTCTCTACACTTTAGGACGTCACTGTCCTGGAGAACTTTACAGTTCAGTCCAATGGAAACCACTGAGACACTGAGACAGAGGAGAGGACACGCTGGAGACATTACTGTCATACATGATGTCATAGATGATGTCACTGATGGGCTTACCTGAGCAGGTGAGATTCAGGGTGGAGGAAGAGGAACCTGATGTTACACACTCCCTCAGAGCAGATCCAGACTGAACACAATGAGACCAGATCCGCCACACAGGTCTGACTGAGGACTCCTTTCTCTCTCCTACAGAAACAGCAGAGCCACAGTCCAGCTTTCTACAGACAACAGCTGCTGCCTTCAGGGTCCAGCTTGAGTAACCCACTGGTCTCCAGTCTCCCTGATGTTTCAGCTCCAGTGTTCCTGCACAGCGACTGGCTCCTCCCACCAACCTGACATCATCAGGCTCTGAACAGAAACCAGAGAGTCATCAGTAAAACAAGACAGTGAGTTTCATCAGAACAGAAATGAACCAAATCAAAGCTGCAGCTCCTCTTCTACCTGAGCAGGTGAGTCCAACAGCTTTTCCAGGTGAGCAGGTGTTTCTAGCTGAGCCTGAGCTTCTACAGTCCAGGAGAGCAGACTCATGGCCTCCACACTGGAACTCTTTGGTCCACATCGGAGCCTCCACTTCTCCATAGAGCACCCCCTGGAGACCTGAAGGAGCCCCACAGCCGAGCTCCCTACAGACCACCTCTGCATCCTGCTGGTCAAAGTCAGCTTCACACACTGAGGACCACCGCTGGTTAGACTGATTAGACTGGTTAGACTTTACCTCCAGTCTGCCTGAGCACAGACTAGTCCCGTCCAGCAGCCTGACAGAGTCTGGAGAGATAATAGAAGATGAAATAGAGATAAAGACACCAGACACAAAATAAAAACATGTCATGAAACAACAATTCAGTGATTCAAAGTGGACTCAGCTCCAACATCAGTTAATCATTAACAACAGAACACATCTTTCTAACAGCACAGACTGCAGCAAGTTCACCAGCACATTAACATTTAATACTCTGTCACACTTGTTCTCCACGTCTGAACACTTGTTTCCAAACAACAGCACAACATCATCATCTGCAGATTTCTCTGCTCTGTTCCTTCTGCTCAGGTTCTCCACAATGAGTGGGCTCTATGATCCGCCTCTTTGAAGTGAACGATGGGAGCCGGCTCCCGTCTAGGATATTATTCTTGGCACATCCCACTTTTTTTTTGTATTTTCCTTTAGCTTTGGCAATACTGTTGTAATAACATTCATACCAATAAAGCAAATTTAATTTTAAACTGACTTCTTTTCTCTGTGAGTTGGAAGAATTTAGAGCCCCCCACGTGTAAAATTCATCCTGCCAGAGGGAACGATCACCACCTGTTCACAGCGCACCAGTCTAAATATAGCGACCCAGTTTTTAGCTTAAGTTTTACGTGGGTCAAGGATTTTAGTCATCCGACATGGATTCTAAGCTAGATGACCATAAAAAAGCTATCAATGCTACTGATCAGAACAAAGCTCCGGCGACTAACGTTATGCAAGCCGAGATAACTCCCCCATGAGAACTGCACACTCCTTAATTAAGCGAACAAAAAGATTGCTGACCTTATGGAAGACCTCTGACGACTTTCAGAGGAACTCAAAGAGAAAGATTCCCTGTTGACAGGCCTTATGGATGTCGCTTCAGTACAAGCCAAACAGATTGTTTCTCTTAGCGCAACCGCTAACATCTAGGACACCGTGCTGTGGGACCCCTCTGCCCTTCCGAGGCTTTCCTCCTGCTTGACTCCGAAGCATCAGTCAACCTGGGCTGAAGTGGTGGTCCATGCAAGAGAGGCTCGGACAACGACTATGCAGCCCTGTCTGACGACACTCCGGTCCATCCAGCGGATGCACCTGCGGCTTCAAGTCTCCCTGATACAGATCTCTTTCGGTGGATAGTACCTGCCGACACTGTTGCATCTTCTCCACCGGCTACATCTCCCGCACTGGCGGCACAGCCGATCACTGCCAGTCTGCTGCTGGGCCTGATCGGCGGCCGTCATCCCGGTCAAAAACCTCCGCTTCCCGACATAGGATCCTGAAGGAGGCTGTGCTCAGACGCTCCGGAGGCCGTCTCTACCCTGCACCGTCGGGTAGCCCTTCTCTCAGGTATGTTACTGCTACTCCAACACAACACTCGGCAGCTCACACACTCCATCCTCAGTCCGCACGCAGTGTTGAAGCAGATTCTGCTCAGTCCTGCTCTGGAACCCCACAACCGGCATCTTCTCGTCCTCTTTTCTCCCCAACCACACTAATAATTGGTGACTCCATAACTAGACACATCAGTTTCTTTAACGCTACCACTCACTGCTTCCCCGGTGCCACCACAGCTGACATTTTAAAAAATCGCTCCCGTCCTCCATCACAAGAGTGATAGTCCATGTGGAAACAAATGACACAGCTCTTTAGCAGTCTGAGCTGACAAAATCCGATTTTAACTGTCTTTTTAACTTTTTAAAGCAGTGTGGAAAGTTTTTATCTCTGGTCCCATTCCCACAGTTGGTCGCGGTGCTGGCCGCTTCAGTAGACTCCTTGGCCTCCACGACTGGCTCCAGTCCGCCTGCAGGGCTCACGGTTTGTGTTATGTCGATAACTTTAATATTTCTGGCAAAGAATGTCTCTTTTTAAGACAGACGGACTTTACCCAAACAAACGGGGTTCAGAAATGTTAGCTGCTCACACACAGCATGTGGTGCGGTCCACACATGACTTACGTGAATGACTAATCATTCATGCAGCACACCTGGACACACCACCGCTCAATGAACAGATCTCTGCCTCCCTGCCACAAACAACTGTCTCCACCTGCTGGCATGTAAAGCCGTCTGCTCCCAGCGCTGTTCCAAAGACTTCTATTCCTGTCATCATCACGCATAGACCAGTAAACCGAAATGTGCACATCCCACACAGAAATATTAGTAATCTCTTAAGGATTAGGACAACTGCACCAACTCCAGCACCCAGAACAAACTCATTTAAAACCGAGGGTCAGTGGTCGTGGTGGTGGGCTAGTGAGCGTGTATAGGAAATATTTAAAATGTCATCAAGTACGCTGTGATGAATTTAACTCCTTTGAAGTTCTCACTCTTCAACTTGGAGGGCTGCAACCTATCATATTTGTTATAATTTATCGCCCCCCAAAACTGCCTGGAGGATTTTTATCAGAACTTCCTGAATTTTTATATATCTGGTTTTAAATTATGACAGAATTGTTCTTTGTGGCGATTTTAATATTCATGTTGATGACCCCACCAATGTTAATGCAACTGACTTTTTAAATATGGCCACTTCTTTTAACAACAACATGTCAAACGGCAAACACATAACCGTGGTCATACACTGGACTTGGTTTTTACCCTGGGTGTCAGCATCTGTGGAATTAGTGGACATGACCATATCTGACCACAGATGTATTGTCTCACCAAGCTCCGTGTGTTCTCGCATCTTTAATGAACAAAGTGTTTCAAAGTTTTGCGCATTCTTTCAGAGCCAAAGCAAACACCTGTCCGATTCCAACACCAACAATCTGGTCGATCACTTCAATCATATCTGCTTGTCGTCACTAAATATTACTGCTCCTCTAAAGGTTAGGCCTACGTCTAAAGCTAGTAAGCAACTCTGGATAAATGACAGCATTCGCAGCCTAAAAAGGGAATGCAGGAAAGCAGAGCGCAGATGGAAAAAATCCAGTCTCCAAGTCCATTACCTCAGTCTGAAGGATTTATTAATTAACTACAATAACATGGTTAAGGATGCGAGAACACACTATTTTTCTGAACTCATTACTACACATAAACACAATCCCAGGTTTCTGTTTAAGACTGTGGATCAACTGGTAAACCCAACCCCTCCTTGTGCCTCAGCTGGAAGTAATGATGACTGTGAATTGTTTTTATCTTATTTTACCAATAAGGTGGTGTCAATCAGAGCCTCTATTACCCCCACGGCCTCTTACTCAGAGGTCCATCACCAGCAACAAGAGGGTTTTAACCAGTTTTATCCCATCGACTTGTCTGAGCTTTTAAGAGATGCTAATTAGCAGAGTTTCAGGAGCTGGACCACACATCAAGCACGTCAACGCCAGCATTTCCATAAATACCCATGCGCCCTAAGTCCTCCCCTTCGCCTTGTATCCTGCATGGCTGCGCAGATGAACCAAGACCAAGCAACATCGCGTCGAGCATGCTACGTTAACATCCAATACAAGCTACTTCCATCCACTGTCCGCACATCGCCATCCCCATCAGACGCTGAATTATTCCGACGGACTCGCGACATCTTCCATATTCACATCAGCAGACCCAGCAACAGAAGCCAAATTCTCTCCTCCGTCTGCACGCTTCAGGCCCCGCTTTCTACAATCCTAAACTCGGCAGGGAGCGGGTGAGTCCAGCCTTAACGCCATCCGCCTTCCACGGTCCACTTTCCTCAATAATCAGAAACATTGCACCCGAAGAATCCCCTGCCTCTCATCAAACAACTGAACACACAGTGTTTCCACGCGCCAGCGAGGTCCCGGGTCACACAGTCTTCACGAACAATCAAGACACGAACTATAGCCACTCTTCAGAAAACGGTTATAAATGTAACAACTCCAATTTAGAGAACCGACAACACAGTAAACTTTTCAAGCTATCATGTCAGCGTGCCATGCATCCAGTTCCGTCAACACCAGCTACTTTCCGGGTGACATATCACCCACGCCATGACGTCAGCGCCACTGTTAAAGGGACAGTTCACCTATTATCTTCATCTCAAGATAGCAAAGAAGTCGGTACCAAAGCAAAACAGGACGTCAACCAACACCAGAATTCCAAGGCCTCCACCTCTCATCGGGGCTGATCGCACCAGCAGCCTACATCACATAGGACAACCACATCGAGTCGTCAGCACCCCATTATCCAGCTCCCGGAGCTTCAGTTATCCAGCACTGAGATATACCAGCACCCCAGCCGTTTACATCTAACAACCACAGCAGCACCGAGATGCTAGCGCCCAAAGTGGTAAAACAGTCATCGTCTAGCTACGTCAGTCTTGAGCAAACAGTCGTTTTTAAGCAAAGTCGTTTCAAGTAAAGAGTCATTACCTAGCTAAGTCGTTATCTAACCACGTCGTTTCAAGCAAACAGCCATTATCACGCTAAGTTGCTTCGAGCAAACAGCTGTCATCGCATTAAGTTGCTTCGAGCAAACAGCTGTCATCGCATTAAGTTGCTTTGAGCAAACAGTCGTTTCGAGCCATAGTCATTTCATGCCATAGTTGTGTCGAGCTAACAATCATCTTGAGCCAACAGTCATTTCCTAGCTTAGCCATTTTCCAACTAAGTCATTCCAAGCAGTCATCTTCTAGCTAATTTGGTTTGAGCTATAGTCGTTTTCAAGTAAACATTAATTTCTTCTTAAGTCTTTCAAGCTAACAGTCATTTCCTAGCTTTCGAGCAAAACTAGTTTTGAGCTGATCATTTCGAGCTAACATTCTTCTCCAGATAACAATAGTTTTGAGCTAACAGCATTTCTAGTGAACAATCGTTCCAAGCTAACATCCAGCTAACAGTCATTTCCATTCATCTAAACAATGTCGTTCAGAGCCAGTGTTGTCTCAATGGATAGTTGTTTCGTTCGAACAGCCGTTTCAAAGCAAAGTCATTCCAAACAAACCACAATTTAAACTATTTGAACGAACGATCGTTTTAAAATTAAAGGGCTCTGGCAACGGGATGCAGCTCACTCCCAGTCATCACTAATCTGACTGCGTCAGTCAGTTCGTTACATAGAACCATCCAATTTGGTTTTGGGTTAGCTTAGTCGGGTCATTAGGCACCAGGATGCAAAAAACCCTCGCAGCCCACAACCATCAATCTCTGCAGGTCGCTCCAGTCTGGGATTCTGGCACCGGGATGCCAGGATCTCCAGCATCTCATCTTACCAGTCCAGCAACTACAGCTAGAAGCTCCGGCACTGGCACCCAGCGTTCCTCCACAGCCCTGACAGAACCAAATTATTTCCATTTCTAATTTTGGTCTTTCCTCTTAACCCATTACGCCGCCATGAGCTAATCCTAATTCTTTCATCTCCTGTTGTTCATCTCCATTTCCTGTTCTTCAGCTCACTAGTTTACTCAAACACATTGTAAACTACATGATATCTTGTTCTTCCTATCGCCAACTGCCAACTAAAAGATCCCTCGAAGGGCACATCTACCCGAAAGGGAACTCACTCCGAAAAGTTGCGTCCACCTTCTCCATACACTAAACGATTATATGGCCATTATTCTAGATTCGGTCCCCAAGTCAGAGGCACAGGTTACCAGAACATCCACACCGCTCCCAAGCAACATCTTGCTTCAGTGGTGTGATCAGGGCCCACTCGACTATGCAACCCTAACATGGCCCCAAGCAGTTCCCGGTCTCATTCTAACCCATTGCTGCCGCTCCAAGCTCTCTGGTTTCTACAACCTCCGGGTTCCAAGGTCTGCATAGAAACAGCAGGTCTTCCCAAGACCCTCGATTTCTAGGATTCACTCTTGACACAGTCGAGTCGATTTCACAATTTAATCTGGATTGAAAGCCCATGCAATCAGCATTCGATCCCCTATTCCTCCTCGCTTTGGCTCAAGCTTTGTCAACAGGACCAGTTCAACTTTTCACAAACAACCGGGACACCCCAAGATACCAATTGTACACCGCCGCCACATATTCTGCAGGTTTTTGGGGGTTCTAGAAAGAAGACTAATTGCAGGAAAATGGCCCCGAAACTCCACTACCAACAGCACAGCCCTCTCTCGGGTTACAGGCTTGCTTCGAAGAACTCAGCCGATGTCACAACAAGCACAACCTCCCCGTCATTCAATCTCGTCACCACTTCTCATTTCACCAAAACGCACAGTGGCAACAAAACACACTCCACTGAAGTCCATCTTAGCGGAAGTACTGGCTTCTTTCCCGATTTTATTTGACTTTATTTTATCCCTTTTATTTTATTCTGTTTTACTTATTTTATATTTTATCTTAAACGTGTATTTTAGTCTTTTCAATGTTTTCTTGCTTTTATCTGTGTATTGTTTTTGTATTATTGTCTTTGGGTTATTATTGTTTTTACACTTGTTAAAGCACTTTGTAACTTGCTTTTGAAAAGCGCTCTACAAATAATAATAATAATAATTATTATTATTTATTTGTTTCTGCTGGGGTTTCCCAAAGCAGTTTCTCAGCAGTGCCGTCCCAAGTACTTAGTGCAATCTTACAATACACAGTACATACGATTTCCACATACTCGGGACACACTGAATGAAACAAACCTCCATTGCGTTTGCTCCTGTTGTCATCTACGCAATAATTCTTAATAGATCACCCATAACAAGTACTAAAATTGCACAGTGTGCAATGTTTTACAATGCACACGCAATTTAGTACTCTTTATTTGGGTTGTTAGTAAATCGGGCCCTTAATGTTCTCAGAAGATCTGTAACCCAGAATAAAAACCTGTTTAGAAAATGCTCCAACAACTCTAACAGGGATAGGGGCTGGACTCTCCCTTCAGGCTGGTTGGTGGTTGGCCCAAGGGACTCCTGAAGCAACAGACATGTATGTTTCATATCGACATATATATATCTTGGTGCATTCAGCAGCTGATTTATTGAGGCAGCAGAGTGTCTCTGGCAGTCATGAAGGAGTCAGATGAGCTTCTAGATTGAGTGTGTGACAATCTGGTCCAACACGTTTTCACTCTCAAGCTGTCACATATGGACGCATAGTCAAGGCCACTTGGCGTCAGTTTGTCACACACTGTGGAGCCCCTTACTGTGCTGTCATACCAAACTGAAGCGAGCATTGGGGGCAGTGCGATTACATGCAAAGTCACAGCAAAGACGTGGAGAGACACCATTTCCTGTCCGGCGGTGCTTAGCACACGTTGGCAGTGACGCCAAGGCATTCGTGCAAGTCAAACTTTTTCAACTCAAGCAAGTACAGTCGTTTTACCAGAAAACGTTGACATATCTTGACTCGTGCTTCTCAGCAGTGAGCTGCCCCGTGTTTCTGACTTCCACGGTTGTTGTTAGGTGTTAGTAACACTGTCATACTACTTTTCAACCTAACCAAACTGCGACATTTCACAACATTAACCATGTGTTTTATTTTGAAAGTAACCGGACATTGCATATTTGTTGGTGCAAACCTCACCGCAGAGCCCTACACATCCAGAAAAATTCAGGGGTAACCAGGGAGTTAAAAGCCATTGACCAAGGGTCTATATGTGATGAGCTGGGAGTGAGAATGTGTTGCCTGGAGACATTACTGTCAAAGATGATGTCATAAATGATGTCACTGATGGGCTTACCTGAGCAGGTGAAATTCAGGATGGAGGAAGAGGAACCTGATTCTACACACTCCCTCAGAGCAGATCCAGACAGAACGCAGTCAGACCTGATCCTCCACACAGGCCTGTCTGAGGACTCCTCTTTCTGTCCTACAGAAACAGCAGAGCCACAGTCCAGCTCTCTACAGGCAACAGCTGCTGTCTTCAGGGTCCAGCCAGAGTAACCCACTGGTCTCCAGACTCCCTGATGTTTCAGCTCCAGTGTTCCTGCACAGCGACTGGCTCCTCCCACCAACCTGACAGGCTCTGAACAGAAACCAAAGAGTCATCAGTAAAACAAGAAAGTGAGTTTCATCAGAACAGAAATGAACCAAATCAAAGCTGCAGCTCCTCTTCTACCTGAGCAGGTGAGTCCAACAGCTTTTCCAGGTGAGCAGGTGTTTCTAGCTGAGCCTGAGCTTCTACAGTCCAGGAGAGCAGACTCATGGCCTCCACACTGGAACTCTTTGGTCCACATCGGAGCCTCCACTTCTCCATAGAGCGCCCCCTGGAGGCCTGAAGGAGCCCCACAGCCGAGCTCCCTACAGACCACCTCTGCATCCTGCTGGTCAAAGTCAGCTTCACACACTGAGGACCACCTCTGGTTAGACTGGTTAGACTGGTTAGACTTCACCTCCAGTCTGCCTGAGCACAGACTAGTCCCGTCCAGCAGCCTGACAGAGTCTGGAGAGATAATAGAAGATGAAATAGAGATAAAGACACCAGACACAAAATAAAAACATGTCATGAAACAACAATTGAGTGATTCAAAGTGGACTCAGCACAACTCCAACATCAGTTCATCATTAACAACAGAACACATCTTTCTAACAGCACAGACTGCAGCAGGTTCACCAGCACATTAACATTTAATACTCTGTTACACTTGTTCTCCACGTCTGAACACTTTCAACATGTTTCCAAACAACAGCTCAACATCATCATCTGCAGATTTCTCTGCTCTGTTCCTTCTGCTCAAGTACTCCACAATCTCCACAAAAACCAGAAACTTGATTTTACCAATTACCCGTATGAAACTAAACTGAATGTTTAAGATATGTGGTTGTGTAAGTTATGCAAGTAAAATTGTTATTTTAACCCAAACCATGGTGTTGTTTTAAACCTAGTCACATTTTGAAATTAACCAGACGTTGCATATTTATTGTTGCTAACCTAACCACTGAGCCTTACACATCCAGAAACGCTCAGGGGTAACCAGGGAGTTAAAAGCCATTGATCAAGGGTCTATATGTGATGAGCTGGGAGTGAGAATGGGTTACCTGGAGACATTACTGTCAAAGATGATCTCACTGATGGGCTTACCTGAGCAGGTGAGATCCAGGATGGAGAAAGAGGAACCTGATGTTACACACTCCCTTAGAGCAGATCCAGACTGAACACAATGAGACCTGATCCACCACACAGGTCTGACTGAGGACTCCTGTCTGTGTTCTACAGAAACAGCAGAGCCACAGTCCAGCTTTCTACAGACAACAGCTGCTGCCTTCAGGGTCCAGCTTGAGTAACCAACTGGTCTCCAGTCTCCCTGATGTTTCACCTCCAGTGTTCCTGCACAGCAACTGGCTCCTCCCACCAACCTGACATCAGGCTCTGAACAGAAACCAGTGAGTCATCAGTAAAGAAGTGAATTCAAGAGACTAAACTAAAACGTGGCTGCTGATTCTGCTTCTATGATTCTTTCTGTCTTTACCTGTTGAGGTGTGTTGTCCTTCAGCCTGGAATCCTGTGATTGGAGCACAGCCGTGGACAGAAAAAACACATTTTACCAGTTTACTGTAGGTGAGATGAACATGTGGATACACAGAACAGCAGCCAGCAGACTGGTTGATATAGAGTTAAAGGAAAAGCTCAGCATCCAGTGAAGTATGCTCGCTCTTCTCCACTTCATCAGGATCTAATTCGCTAAGTCAAGCGGTGAGAGCTGCACAAACAGGTCAATAACTGCAGATGCTTGAATCTGCTGCTATGAGACGAAAATGCTGCACAAATGACAAGTTCCTCATGCTCTCACTTTCACACCTCATCTTCTCTGGACCCCTGCCAAATCTGACCAGTGATGACATCATTCCGCCGCTGGTTGTCGAGGTGGTGTCCAGCAAACGATGTGGGCTTTGTAGATCACTGGCAGACTTTCTGAGGAAGACCTGGTCTGATTAATATTGATTTATTTGGTCTTACTGAAACCTGGCTGGGTGATGGAGAATATGTTAGCCTAAATGAATCCACCCCTCCCAGTCATATTAATACTCACATTCCTCGAGGCACAGGCCGAGGAGGTGGAGTTGCAGCTATTTTCGACTCTAGCCTACTAATCAGCTCTAAACCTAAACTAAACTATAACTCATTTGAAAGTCTTGTTCTTAGTCTTTCACACCCAAGTTGGAAATCACTGCAACCAGTTCTCTTCGTTATAGTGTACCGAGCACCTGGTCCGTACTCTGAATTCATATCTGAATTTGCAGAGTTTTTGTGAACTTTAGTCCTTAAAACGGACAAAGTTATTATTGTAGGGGATTTTAATATTCATGTGGACGTTGAGAATGACAGCTTCACTAACGCCTTTATCTCTCTGTTAGATTCCATTGGCTTCTCTCAGAGTGTTCAAGAACCGACTCACTGTTTTAACCACACCCTCAACCTTGTTCTGGTATATGGTATTGAAATTGAACATTTAATAGTGCACCTTTGGTGTGAGAAACCCGGGTTCAATTCCCCACTGTGACACGTCCACCAATGCGTCCCTGAGCAAGACACTTAACCCCTAGTTGTTCCAGATGTGTGCGACCTCTGACATAAATAGCAATTGTAAGTCGCTTTGGATAAAAGCGTCAGCTAAATGTAAATGTTGTGATGTTCCCACAAAATCTCTTTATCTGACCACTATTTGGTAACCTTCCAGTTTCTATTGCTGAACTACAAGCCATTAGGTAAACATTTACTAGACGTCTATCTGATAGTGCTGTAGCTAAATTTAAGGATGTGATTCAATCAGCTTTTTATTCATAATCATGTCTCAATTTAATTTAGGACTCCTATAACTTCAGTCCCTCCCAAGTTGATCATCTTGTTGATAGTGCTGCAGGCTCACTGCGAATGACACTCGACTCTGTAGCCACTCTAAAAAACAAGATAATAAAACAAAGACGGTTAGCTCCATGGTATAATCCTGAAACTCGCAAATTAAAGCAAATATCGCAGAAACTTGAAAGGTAATGGCGTTCTACAAATCTGGAAATTTCTCATTTAATTTGGCAAGATAGTCTTAAAACTTTTAGGATATAGGAAATTATAACTAATAGAAACAAAATCCACCAAGACTTATCTCTAAACTCAGGAACCTTAGAAACGACGGTAAAACCTGACATACAGACGTGTTTGTACCCTTCCGTGAAAGAAAGAAAAACCCACAATGGTCACAAAGAAAATTATAGACAAGCATGTTAAAGGTAAAAGCTGTAAGACCATCTCCAAGCAGCTTGATGTTCCTGTGACTACAGTTGCACATATTATTCAGAAGTTTAAAGGTCCACAGGGCTGTAGCCAACCTCCCTGGACATGGCCGCAAGAGGAAAATGAATTACTAATCAAAGAGACAGATAACACGAATGGTAACCAAAGAGCCCAGAACAACTTCCACAGACATTAGAGGTCAACTCCAAGGTCAAGGTACATCTGTCATGGGCAGCTGAGTGCAGAAGCAGAGAACTGAGTTGTGGACCCAAATATAGACTGTAGGCAAGGTGTTTGCAGTAAAAATAAAGATTTATTAAATCAAAAACTCAGCAGCCTTACGCTGGGAGCACAGCGGTGAATGTTCAAACAAAACATAATGCTAAGGGAAGAATCCAAGAACAGGTACAGTCCAAAAAACACAGGGACAGGCCCGAACACTCAGCACAGACAAGGACATCACAAACACTGAACACAACTGAGGACAATATAATGTATACACAGGAAAACGAGCAGGCAGGGAAGCACAGCTGAAACACATCAGGTAATCAACAACAGGAACAAAGAAGAAGAAGACAAGAACACCAGGCACTGAAAAATAAAACTAAATATAAAACAGGAAGTTAAGTACTCGGGAACAGATCTACCAAAGTTAAACACAAAACATGGAAAGACTGCAAAATCAGGGCATGGACAGAGACCGGACCAGACAGGACTACACTAAAACATGGAGACATAAGACTAAGGACTAAGACACAGACCAAAATAACAAAACATAGTACATAGACCGGGAAAAACACTAAACATGAACTAAAGCACAGGACTAAGAACTAAGATAAGAGACAAGACAGATACTAAGAAACTTTAACATGCGAATGCACAAAAGACCAGCTTAAGCTTCAAAACCCCAAACATGACACGATCAAATCAAGCTTACAGAACACAGAACACAAAACCAAACCTATGAAAACAGACCAAACAGGAAAAAACAATTACACACAACCAAATCCTCACAACATCAGTGTCAGATCACACCACCCGTCGCTGTTACAAAATCAGTTAGGACCAGTGGGAGCAGTGGGGGTTCAGATTTTGGTAGCAGCCTTTGTAGCGCTGTGTTTGATGTTTTGCTTTTGTACGGTGTTATTGACTTTTGCGAAAGCTATGATATTGAGATGGGTTGGAGTGGTAATGCCTGGGGAGAACACTCAGATGCCTTTGTTAACTATGGCTGATTTAGATGGAGGTGATGAAGTGGAACCAGATGAAGTAATGATGGAAAGATATCCATTTTAATGTTACTTTGAGGTTTTAATTTTCATGTGTTATTTTGCAACAGATACTGGTTGGTGTTTTCTTTTCTTCCAGAGTATATGGGGATGTACAGATGGGGATTCAGATACTCAAACAAGGACAATATGAAAGAACTCTGGACAAGGACTGTGTGGAAACGTCTGGATTGCATCGACACTGCTGGGGAGCTGCAGTGGAATACCTTCCTATGTTTGCTTTGATATAGATATGAATACGTATTTGAATGAATAATACTTAATTAACTATCATATTCTTTTTTCTTTTTCTTGATGTTTAGGGATATAGGGTCTAGGCAGGGAAAGGTCCGTTGGAGGGTCCGATGGGTTGACCAGCCTGAATTCGGACATTGTTTTGATTTGTTTCATTTCCTGAGGTTTTCACATGTATTGGCTAAACCATATCTCTGCATAGACTGATAAAGATGTCTTTTATTAATCAAACTGGAGTACCATGCGTGGCCGCCTAAGGCAGAGGGGCCATGAGAAAATTTTCCTGTCTAGATTGTCTTGGAGGGCATTTTGGAATGAAGGCTGCCGGACGGGTTTTTCGTTCTCACACTCCATAAAGTTGATATGTTGTTAAAATAATACTATCAGAAGCATGTGTTGGAGAAATTGTTATCTTTTTGTCTCGTAGGGGGGAATATGTGGTATCCAGTATTTGTGCATTTGACGCATAACAGTTCAAAATAGCACTATAGCAGCAGGACAGAGGGTCAGTGACCTCTTAAGGGGAGAGCAGTGATTGGTGGTTATGTAGGGACTGAACCCTTCTATAGAATTTGACCTCTAACCCCTTGTTGTGTTACCTCAAAATAGCACTGTACCCTTCTATGGGTTGGAGCTTTATTTTGCAGACTCAAACCCCTCTATCGTACCTAACAGACACCTAAACATGTCCTATATAAGCTGTGTTTGATGTACAGAGAGACAGAGTGGCCATCGGGCTGGGTCTCTCTCCAAGCTGCTGCAGAGCTTGTAATTGATGCTGAACTCCTTGATTTAATAAACTTTTATGATCAAGAACAGTGTCAAGCGGATTTCTTCTCAACACATCATCGCAGCATTATCGTTCGGACACCACAGAGCCAAAGTGGACTTAATGGAAGATGACCGAGAAGGACACCGCTGTTGAAATCATAAAAAAGCGAGACTGGAGTTTGCCAAAAATGCATACTGACAAAGCTTCTGGGAGAATGTCCTTTGGACAGAAGAGACAAAACTGGAGCTGTTAGGCAAGTCACTTCAGCTCTATGTTCGCAGACGCAAAAATTAATAATGATTAATGATATCACAGCAAAGGCAGCAAATGCAGGATGTTTATTTAGTGTGACTACAAGGTTAGCATTAGTGCCATCAGCCCTGAAATAAGATCTTATCACTCAGGATATGAAATGAGTGTTTTTCCTGTTTTGTGAATGTTTCCATTCAGCCAACTTTGCAGGAACACATTAAAAAAAACCCAGGAATTTCCCCTTTTTTATTTTCACTTTAACAATCTGACACTATGTTTTAAAGATTCTTTAGACTCTCTGGGACAATCTAGTCCAGATCTGACAGCTCAAGCAGAGTGGTTTTTAACTGGACCTGGTCTGATGTGGGTTAGCCAACATTTTAAAAAAAGGTGCACAGATGATCGGTCGCTCAGCAACGTAAGTTCAGTTTCCCTTAACTTTCCCCTTCACCGCCGAACCAGAAGCTGACTTCAGCACCAGCACAGTGATCAGAGTCCTACCTGAGCTCCACAGCAGCAGCAGCAGCAAGAGGTGATCCATGTCCAGGTAGCCCGTCTCTCTGCCGTCCTCCTGCTCTCTGCTCTCAGTGTAT